CTCCCGAGGGGAACTAGCCTGGAGAGGGTGCAGGCTGGGCTAAGGTACACCCTCCCTCTCTCCCCTCCAGTAAACGAATTTCGTGCACTGGGCTTCTAGTGAGATCAGAAGGGCCTTGGAATAGGGTGACCGCCAAGCCTCACCCACTGTGGGTTCCTCTGGGCTTCAGTGACCTCCTTTCCTCTGAGCCCAGCCTCCTTCTCTGGGGAAGTCCTCCTTGGAACCTCCTAGCAGGTGGGAAGAACGGGAGAGAGCACTGTGGTAATTCAGACATTTCTGCCAGAGCCGTCCTGACCTCCTGTCACTGTGCTGGGAGGAAGTGGTGGGCGGGGACCGTGGGTCAGGAGACCACAGCTGATGGCAATCAGCAGCATTTGCACCAGCAAATCTTTGTGAATCTGAAAAGAGAAGGTTGGAAGCAGGTGGACCAGTTAGAGGAGCAATGCAAAATCCAGGAAGCACAAAATGATGCCGTCTTGGACCAGGGAATGAGCAGTGATGAAGATGAGAAATGGCCCTAACCAGTTTGGCTCAGTGGATAGAGCATTGGCCTGAGGACTGAAAGGTCCCATGTTCGATTCCGGGCAAGGGCATATACCTTAGTGGTACCTTGGTTGTGGGGACATCCCCAGTAGGAGGTGTGCAGGAAGCAGCTGATCGGTGTTTCTCTCTCTCATTGATGTTTCTGACTCTCTGTTCTTCCTTCCTTCCTCTCTGTAAAAAATCAATAAAAAATATATTTTTAAAAAGATGAGAAATGGCTGGACACAAAGTTCTGTTTACCCGTATTCTATTTTATTGTTGTTATTAATCCTCACCCAAGGATCTTTTTCCAAGTCCACCGATTTTTAGGAAGAGTGGAAGAGAAAGGGACACAGAGAAACAGTGATGTGAGAGAAATACATTGACTGGTTGCCTCCTGCACGAGTTCCGAGCCCCGACCAAGCCTGGTCCAGGAAGGACCCTGCCACCGAGGTACGTTCCCTTGACCGGAATGGAACTGGGACCCTTGAGTCCGCAGGCTGACGCTTTATCCACTGAACCAGACCTGCTAGGGCCTGTTTACTCTCAAGTGGAGCAAGAGAAAATGCTCTCTCATTGTTTCCTCGTCCATACATAGAGAAAGAAGACATTATTAAAATAATTTTACTTGACAAAGGACACAGAGGACTTGAGGCATCCAGACCACTGGCTCTGTCTTAGAGGCACAGATTCTGTGTACCCCAGGACTTCCCAATCTAGGATCTCATTTGTGATTGGCCTGTGAGATTATATGTTTGAGTCATTTTCATGATCCTGTATAAAACAATCCTATATAGTAAAAGTATAGTATGCAAATTGTCCCCTCCACCAGGCTTTCCTCTGGGAGTTTGATCAGGGGGCGGGGTTAGCTGGGGTGAGGGGGAGGAGGGAGGGAGAGAGGTCCCCCCCAGCAGTCACTAGGGACCCTACCAGTGCACGAATTTTGTGCACTGGACCTCCAGTTCATAAGTAACCAAGCCATCTGAAGAGAGCTGGTGTCTGTTGGGTTCCATCTATCCATGGCTGCCTTTGCCCTGGGCATTGCTTTAGGGTCCCGTCCGCCATCACCTCACCAGCAGGGTCAGTTTCGACTGTTCATCTGATGTAGCCAAGATGACATCATGCTGCTGAAATTGCTTTCCTCAAAGGGGCTGCCAACACTGGGAGCGTCATGCCCTCCTCTCCAGGACTTGGTCTATCTGAACCCTGGAGAGAGAATTGCTAAGTTAGAGCCCGGGGCATGAGAGATCATGAAAGCCATGCCAGCGTGGACTGGATTTTGTGTGTGTGAAGGGGCATTGTGAGAGGTTTTAAAGCCTAAGAGAGACGTGCTCAACCTTCTCAAAGTTAACTTGGTGGTTCGTGGGGGATGGAACCGTCCTAGGGGAGCCAACTGAGGAAAGGAAGAACTGGAGTCGCAGTAAAGGTTCTGCTGAGAACTCGTGGAGATTCAAACAAAAAGAATAGAACCGAGAGGCAGTTCAGGGCGCTTGGACTCTCAGAGAACTGACAGTCGAGATATGAGTCAGCCAGTCGTGTGTGTGTGTGTGTGTGTGTGTGTGTGTGGTGTGGTGGGGGGCACATCCTGCCTCAGAGCATCCCCACGTGGCCCCAGCCTGAGACCTCGGAGGTCCACCTCTTCAGGGAAATTACCTGCTCTCTGGGCATTGAGCTTCTGGCTACTTCCCAGAATCCTTGGGGCTTGCTTGTACTTTGAAGCTTTCTCAGCTTTGTCGTACTCAACCAGAAGGGGGGGAAATAAATTTTTTTTTCTTAAACATAACATGATAAATATGTAAACGAGTACACTTGCCTGCTGAAACACACACAGGGACTTGTAATCCAAGCAGTGGAGACAGATTATTTCCTGATTGCCTTTTATCCCAGGGGTTGCTACTGACACGCTTAAAGTTTCTATAAACTTAAACCCTGATTCAAACACCCAAAATTGTTTTTAAAATAAGTATTTTTATTGATTTTGAGAGAAGAAGAGAGAGGGAGGAGAAACATCCACCGGCTGCCTCCTGCACGCCTCCTACTGGGGAACCGAGCCCACAGTCCAGGCACGTGCCCTGACTGAGAAGCCTCAGGGGCCAGGGCACATCCAAATGTTGAAGACGGCCTACAGGAAACCTTCTCACCGGAGAGAGCTGTTTGGATGGTTAATTCTCGGTCGATGTTCTCTGCTGAGATAATGACAGTTTTTCCAAACAGGTGAGATCTGCTTGTTTAACTAGAACTAACAATATCTTGTCATGAAGATTGTAGGGCTCCAAACTGTTAACTATGGTTACGTTTGAGATTTAGAAGCAGAAGGTAGATGTTAAAAGAGTCTTTACCCTTTTGAGTTTTAAAATGCATAGTTTTGTAATTTCAGAACAAAACAAAAGAATTTGGTTCGATGTAAATTGGAACTGCCATACAGAACATCAAAGAAGCCAGTCTGAATTATCTGATTTTAAATGAGTTTGAAAAAGACCATCTGACATCACCTAATTCCCAGGAGCCAGCTTGCCACCTGGTGGCTGCCGGGCAGGAGCTGGTGAATAAGCTGGGTGCACACGCCTGCCCCAGGAGGGGCACGGGCAGGGGCCTTGCAGGGAAGCAGGCCCTGCCCCACACGGGGAAGTCTCAGTGTCCTTCCCACTTTCCCATAAACAAACACAGTGCTTCTACTCTGTTATGGTTTTAATATCTTCACTCTTTCAGAACTTCCCATTATACATCCTCGTTGTAAAAGATGTTTTTCAGGCAATACAGAAAGTAAAAACCGTATTCTGTTGGGGGTTTGGGTAGGGAGCGCTCTAAAGCTGAGTCTCGGATTGACCTGTGGCAGAGCCACAGACAAGTCCCAGCTTAGAGGGCACAGCCCTCTTCGCAGAATTAAGCTTGACCTTATAGCCGCCCCCTAGGTCCTTCCTGGGTAGCTAATGGGCTAGGGAGGTGCGGCCAGTGCTGCCAAAACAAGTGAAACGCACAAAAACATGGTAACTATGGTGACTAATACCTTGTTTACCTCTGACTGTAAAGTAAAGGCTCAGCTTGCCATCTGGCTCTTTCTCTGTGGCCTCATCTAGGCACAGGAGATCCAGCTAGGCCCAGCTTATTCTCTTTGTCTGTCTTTTCTTCATCCTTCGCCGCCTCCCCCCCACCCCCCCAGGCTCACCGAACCCTTGGCTGTGCTGGTGCTGCATGGCACAGTTTAGTTGTGTGTCCTTTTGGATTTGCTTTACGCTCACACACTTACACACATAATTTCAACTTTTATTCTTCATTTTTTGAGGTATAATTTACGAATCATAAAATTGCCATTTTAAAATGTATAATCCAGTGGTTTTTAATACATTCATAAAGTTGTGCAACAATCACCACCATCTAATTCCAGAACATTTCATCACCCCCCAAAAAACCCTCTATCCACCACAACCACTCCCCGAATCCTCTCAGCACTAATTTACTTCCTGTCTCTCTAGATTTGCCAATGGTGGGCATTTCACTTAAATAGAACCAGGCGGCAAGTGACCTTTAGTGCCTGAGTTCTTTAACTTATTATAATGTTTACAAAGTCCATCCATGTTATAGCATGCACCAGCACTTCATTCCTTTTTACGGCCAAATAATATCCCATTGTAAGGCTACAAACCACATTCTGTTTATCCACTCATCCATGTGACGGACCTAAAATGAATAATGCTGCTAAGAAAATTCATGTATGTTTTCAATTCTTTTGGGAATCACTAGGTCATATGGCAACTCTCTGTTTGCCATTTCCCTCTTTTGAGAAACTGCCGAGCTGTTTTCCGCCATTTTACACCCCCACTGGCGAAGTACAGGGTCCCCATTTCTCCACCTTCTCACCCGCACTTTTTTCTTTCTTATTCTAGCCATCCTAACGAGTGGTGTGAAGCAGCATCTTCTTTTGGTTTTTATTTCAATTTTTCTAGAGACTAACGATGTTGAGCATCTTTCCACGTGCTTGGTGGCCACGTGTATATCATCTTTGGACAAATGTCTGTTCCAACCCTTTGCTCACTTAAAATAATGGCTTGTCTTTTCATTGTTGACTTGCAAAAGTTCTTTATATATTCTTGATTGAAGTCCCATATCAGATATATAATGTGCAGATATTTTCTCTCATTCTGTGGGCATTGTTTTTTATTTATTTATTTATTTTTTAGAATAAAAATGAGTTTCTACATATACTGCTCTGTAACTTGCTCTTTTTTACTTCACAGGGTTTGATGGGCATCTTTCAATGGCGAGAGAAGGCCCCCTGGTGTGGCTGCACCGGTTTATGGGCCTTGTTGGCCCGCCCTCTGCTGAGCTTTGCAGCCTCTCTGATGCCTGTGTGGTGGACCATGAAGATGCGTCGCCCTCGGTGCTGTCTGCGATGATGTGAAAGCACAAGCAGCACAGGAAATCTCTAACCTGCTTACACTTCCTCTCTGACACTTGGCGGTTTCACAACCCTTCACCCCCTCCTTCACCACCACCCAGTGATATCAGCTGGTGCCTCTGTGAGAAAGTTCCACTTAGACACCAGGGCTTTATCATTTCCTTCTCTCGCCCGTCCAGGCCGCCAGCCGTCCCCAGGGTCCTCCGAGACCCGCCGGCTTCAAACATGAACGCCTGCAGCGCGGCGAGGCTGCTGCTGTCGGGGCCCTTTCTCCTGGGTAAGCGAGCGGGCGGGGAGGAGGGGCGGGAGGGACCTGTGGCTGCGGCCAGAGAACCGCAGGGCTTTACAGAACCAGAGCTCGGGAGCAGGTGATGTGGGGCAAGAATGGAGAGGAGAGGGGGGGCCGAAGAAAGAGTCCAAAGCACAGGCCAGGTGTGGAGACGAGGCGGGAAGGCGGACAAGGCGGCCACAGTGAGAGATGAGGCGTGGGCCCTCCTCCGGCAGGTGGTAATGTGCACAGAGCTGTGCTGGGTCTGGTCCACCGGGCCCTCCTCTCTGCGCCCTCTCAGAGGTCATGCCCCTTCCTGGGCCTCAGGCTCTTCCTCTGAACAATGCGGGGCCAGGGGCCTGGCTCTGGCACCTGGGATGCTGTGAGGTCAGCCTGGGCCTGGAAGGTGAGCCTGGGACTGGCAGCCCGGGCCCTGAGGCTGGGACTCTGAGATCTGAGGCTGAGGAGGAGGCTGGTCCCTGGCTGGGGGGGAGTGTGGGAGCAAAAGAGGAGGGAAGAGGCGAGGGGAGGAGGGAAGAGGGAAGAGGGAGGAGGGAGGAGGGAGGAGGGAAAAGAAGGAGGGAAGAAGGGATGGAGGGAGGAGGAGCAGGAGGAGGAGGGAGCAGGGAGGAAGCAGCTTCGTGGGGATCTTGAAACCCTGAGCGGAGTGTGGGAGGAAGCCTGAGGAAAACCACCGAGCTCTCTGGCGCCGGGAGAAACGAGTGTGTGGGAGCTGCACCCGACATGGGGCATCCCCAGCGCCTCAGGGGCCCCTTCCGGCGGCTCCTCTCCCACGGCCTCTGCCTTCTCATCCTTCCTTCTTTGCTGAGAGGCCAACGGGAAGTTGTGTCCTTCCCAGGCCTGGGGCTGCCCGCACTCCGGGCAGCAGGGAGCCGCACCCGTCTCCCTGCCGAGGCCTCCAGCCCCCGCTCGGCCTGGTCCGCGGCAGCCGGCCCTGGGGGTCTGCCCATCCCCGGGGCACGTGGGCGCGGGTAGGGTGAGAGGGGGTCCCCGGCCGGAAGTGGCTGACGGCCCCCTTTGTCCCCTCAGCCCTGGCCTCTGGCTACAACCTGGACGTGCGGCAGGTGCAGAACTTGTCCTTCCCTGACGCCGGCCGGCACTTTGGGTACCGCGTCCTGCAGGTCGGAAGCGGGTGAGCGGATGCCCGGCCCTGCCCGCGGAGCCGGGACCAGGCACCCTGTCAGCCGGGGCCCAGGAGCCCGTGTGGGGTTTCTCGGGAGCAGGAGCAGGGCCCGGGATGTAGGATGGGCCCCGCACGGCGAAAGGGCCACAGCAGGGACACCGGGAGGCGCCGTCCCAGTCCCACCTAGGCAGGGCTGCCTGTCCCGGGTCTCCCCGGACACATGCCCCGCCCAGCCCAGCACAGGAGGCCAGGCCTATGACGTGCTGGCCCACTCAGGTCCTCAGTCTTTCTAGACCACATGTGTCAAACACAAGGCCCGAGGGCCAAATCCGTCTCACCAGGCCTTGCAATGTGGCCCGCACCGCGCTGTCATCACTGCACTCCGCTGCGTTTCCATCACAATGACAGTTTATGACTGTTCTGTAAACCATTCGGCCCGCGATTTAGCCTGGATTTTAGATTTTGTCCTCTTCTCTGATTGAGTTCGACACCCCTATTCTAGACTGTAGATGGAGACAGCTCTTACTTTCTATTAAAACTCTGGCATGGTGGGTGGCTTCTCTGAGATTCCGTGAGGAGGAAGTAGGTGGGGCCTGAGGAGAAGGCTGCATTGCTTTGGGGTACCTGGCGGGGGACAGGGTACCCCTTATCAGGTAGGAGTGGGTGGTAAGGCCTGGGAACCCCGTCTCACAGCGAGCTTTCTCATCAGGGTGGTCGTGGGCGCTCCGGGCGAGGGGAGCAGCCCGGGAGGCCTCTACCGGTGCCAGCCGGACACCGGGCACTGCCTGCCGCTGGGCGTGAGCGGTGAGTGACGGGCGGGCGAGGAGTGGGGAGGAGGTGCCTCGGGGAAGTGGAGGCAGGCCCCCTCCACTCCTGGATCGCCTAAATCCCTCCAGACCGATCTTATGGTGCCCACAGGTTCCAACGACACCTCTCAGTACTTGGGGATGACCCTGGCGACAGACCCCACGAATGGAAACCTTTTGGTAAGAGTTTTGTGTCGTGTGATATCAGAGCCTGTGAAGCTCAATGCTAGGAAACTGATTGAAAAGAAGAAAGAAAATAAAACGGATTAAAGGTCATATAGAAGGCCCTGGCTGGTGTGGGTCAGTTGGTTGGAGTGTCGTCCTGTGCACCAGAGTCTTGGGTTTGATTTCCAGTCAGCACGCATTTCCACATTGTAGTTTCAATCCCCACTCAGAGCATGTACGAGGGGCAGTCAATGTTTCTCACAACAACATTTCTCTCTCTCTCTCTCTCTCTCTCTCTCTCTCTCTCTCTCTCTCTCAGAAATCAATAAAGTCACTCTATCCTTTAGGGTGAGGATTTAAAAAAAAAAAAAAGATCCTATAGAAGATCAAAGGCATCAGAGCGATTTGGAGTCAGTGTTTATTGAGAATAAACTATGAGCCAGCTATTTTCAAGACCTTACTTAACCTAAGTTTTTCCCAAATATTAAGTATCTATAACAATTGATATACAAGATGATTTTTGGTGGTACACAAACTTAATATTTGAATAGTTACATATTTATTTATTTAACGGACTAGTAGAAACATTTACAACAAACATTTCAAATTCATGATTTCTTAGATTGCATTGGTTAGGATGAGGCTAAAGTATTTTTTTTTTTTTTAAATCAATCTTTATTGTTCATATTATTACACAGGTTCCTCGTTTCTTCCCCCCTCCACCAGGTTCCCACCCCACCCTCTGCCCCCTCATCCTCATCCATTGGTGCACAGTTTATGTTCAGTCTCTTCCTCCCTCCCTTTCCCCGATAGTAAATCCCTTTTCAGATAGCAAATCTGTTACTTAGCATTTTCTCATATCAATAATACCTCCACATGCCCAATGATACACTTCACACAAAAGACATTTCCAAATAGGTCAACCAGCCTCATCCAGGCCCCACCCAAGGCACTCACAGATCAATACCCCAGCGCTATACTAACTCAACACATCCAGATCTAAGCCTTCATCACTTGATTCAGCAGACCCTCAAGTTCCCGCAAAAGTTTCCAGCCATGTCTGAGAGGCAGCCGTGGGGCAGGGGCAGGTGAGGAGCGAGCTGTTTTGGGCCAGGCTGCTCCGGGCCTGGCCTCTGTTGCTCTGGTTTGTTCCACAACCAGCTGCTCCGTGTCTGGTCACTGCCGCTCCTGACCCAGTTGCTCTGGACTTGGCTGTTGCTGCTACAGGCCTGGCCACACCCGACTCGGCTGCTCTGGGCCCAATTGCTCCGGGCCCGGCCGCTCCGGGCCTGGCTGCTCCCAGCCTGACAGCCGCTTCTCCGGGCCTGGCCGCACCGGACCCAGCTGCTCCGGGCCTGGCCGCTCCCAGCCTGGCAGCCGCTGCTCCAAGCCTGGCCGCTCCCAGTCTGGCAGCCACTGCTCTGGGCCTGGCCACACCAGACCCGGCTGTTCCAGGCCTGGCCGCTCCCAGCCTGGCAGTTGCTGCTCCGGGTCTGGTCACTGCCACTCCCCACCTAGTTGCTCTGGACCTGACTGTTGTTGCTACAGGCCTGGCCACACCTGACCCAGCTGCTCTGGGCCCGGTTGCTCCGGGCCCGGCCACTCCGGGCCTGGCTGCTCCCAGCCTGTCAGCCGCTGCTCCTGGCCTGGCCGCACCAGACCCGGCTGCTCCGGGCCTGGCCGCTCCCAGCCTGGCAGCCGCTGCTCCGGGCCTGGCCGTACCAGACCCGGCTGCTCCGGGCCTGGCCGCTCCCAGCCTGGCAGTTGCTGCTCCGGGTCTGGTCACTGCCACTCCCCACCTAGTTGCTCTGGACTTGGCTGTTGCTGCTACAGACCTGGCCACACCCGACCCGGCTGCTCTGGGCCCGGTTGCTCCGGGCCCGGCCACTCCGGGCCTGGCTGCTCCCAGCCTGTCAGCCGCTGCGCCTGGCCTGGCCGCACCAGACCCGGCTGCTCCGGGCCTGGCCGCTCCCAGAGGCTAAAGTATTTTTTAAAAATATATATTTTATTGATTTTTTACAGAGAGGAAGAGAGAGGGGTAGAAAGTTAGAAACATCGATGAGAGAGAATCATCCATCAGCTGCCTCTTGGGAATGTACCCGCAACCAATGCACATGCCCCTGACCAGAATCGAACCCGAGACCTTTCAGTCTGCAGGCCGACGCTCTATCCACTGAGCCAAACTGGTTTCGGCACAGTCCCAATTTTTAACAATTTGTCCTGCGGCGTTTTAAAGAAGTCCCCAAAAATCAGGACTTCTTTAAAACACCACGGGACAAGGGACAAATTGTTAAAAATCAGGACGTCTGGTCACCTTAGTTTTGGCTGGTGTTATCAAAAGACACCGCAAGAGGAGGCTGAACCTCTTACCTGTGCCTCCTTCAGGCCTGTGACCCCGGGCTGTCCCGGACCTGCGACCAGAACATCTATCTAAGCGGCCAGTGTTACCTCTTCGGCCAGGACCTGCAGGTCCCGGTGCTGCGCGGGCGCCCGGGCTACCAAGGTGAGGAACGGGGGCCGAGGGAGACAGCCTGCGAGGGGCTGGCCGTGCTCGGGAGCAGCCTGGGCCGGCCCACGTCGGAAATGGCTGACCGAGTCTCTTCGTTTCTGGCTTCTGCAGAATGTCTCAAGGGCAACGTGGACCTGGTGTTCCTGTTTGACGGCTCAGCGAGCCTGGCAGCAGACGAATTTCAGAAGATCCTGGCCTTCATGAAGGACGTGATGAAGAAACTCAGCAACTCGTCCTACCAGGTAAGTGTGTGAGTGAGGGTTCCTGCTTAGAGGGGCCTCCCCACGCCAGTGTAAGGCATACAAGGAAATCTTAGCATGTCTAGGGAGTGTTAGGAGTTTCCAGGCCCTAGCAGGGGTCCTCAAACTTTTTAAAGTGGGGGCCAGATCACGGTCCCTCAGAGAGCTGGAGGGCCGGACTATATGAACTACTAATTCCTACTGTAACACCTCGGCTGCGCTCACTGCCCAAAAAACCTGGCGGGCCGGATCAGACTCCTCTGCGGGCCGCATGTGGCCCGCGGGCCGTAGTTTGAAGACGCCTGCAAGGGCATGGCTAGGAATAATGGGACTTCTGGAAGGGATAAGAACAAGGAATAGAAAGCTTCTAGAATTTCCCCTAGTTCTCATTTCTGTTTCTTTTTTACTTTTTGCCTCCCTTGTGTGTGTGTGTGTGTGTGTGTGTGTGTGTGTGTGTGTGTAATGGCTCCCTCAGCTTCTTTGGATCAAAGTTCTTAAGTTCACAAGTTAAAGTCTCAGGAGACTGGTTCTTTCTCTCAACCAGCCCCTCCCACTGCAAATTCCAAATGCTCAGAGAACACATTGGCCTCGCCTCAGCCAAGTGGCTGTATTTGGCTTAGGCAACTGTGCCCTGTTTAGCAGAGCCACTCAGAAGCAGAGCTAGCGGGAACCAGTTCTGTTGGTGAGGTAGGCAGGCCCAGAGAACAGGAGCGCCACAGACAGCACTACATAAAGAGTCAGAGATTGATTTTATTTTATTTTGTGTTTGTTTATTTACAAAAGAATGAGTTGAGTCAGGGCAGTGGAGTTGGGTGGTCCAAGTCCTGGATAAGAAGTAGAGATTAGAGCCTGCCCGGCCGGCGCGGCTCAGTCTTTGAATGTCAAACCATGAACAAGGAGGTCATGGTTCGATTCCCGGTCAGGGCACATGCCTGGGCTGCAGGCTCCATTCCCAGTAGGGGATGTGCAGGAGGTGGCCAATTGATTCCCTCTCATCATTGATGTTTCTATTTCTCTTTTCCTGTCCCTTCCTCTCTCTGAGATCAATGAAAGCATAAAAGAAAAAGAAGATTAGAGCAGACAAGTGAGAAGGCTTATATAACATTTCATTTCTTTCTTCTTCTATAGTTTGCTGCTGTTCAGTTTTCCTCAAACTACAAAACAGAATTCAATTTCTCGGATTATGTGAATCTGAAGAACCCTGACGTCCTCCTGGGCAAAGTAGTTCATATGAAACAGCTGACCAACACCTTTGGCGCCATAAACTATGTTGCGTGAGTTCCCTTTTGCAGGAGAGAGCCCCCCCGCCCCCGCCCGCCATCAGTCACTCTGTGCACACTAGCTTCTTTAAGTTGGTTGTAGAACTCAACAGATGGGTTCAGCAAGGGCAGGTTATTGTAAGAATCAAGTGGAGCAGTTTCAGTGGTGGCTCTGGGTTGTAAGTAGCAGAAATTGATTTATACTGACTCAATCCTCAGGGAGGCTGAGGGGTACTCATGAGCCTCTGAGACAGGGGGATGGCCAGGCCTCTCGAGGGACCGGAGCCAGGCCTTCAGAAAGCGATTGTGAAGCCGGACAGCTACAGCAGAGTCCCCTCTCCGATGGGAATCAGCTTTGAAGTCAGCCATGAACAAAAATGTCAAATACTCACCATCATCCTCCAACTGTTCATAAAATTCAATATGTTCAAGTCCCATACTGGAAACTAGTATATCTCGATTTCCTAAATTTACTACAGAAAAAATTTTCCCCCAGTTGGATCAGATTGCTGTGTTTAAATTGAGACCTAAATGAAGTAGCTGGATCATGTCGAAGGGCCACATGGTACGTTTTAAACATGCATTAGACTGGCCATGGAACAGCAACTTGAGGAATGCGAGAATTGTGTCTCCTCTCCCGCGTTCCCCTGGGTACGCACTCAAGCTGAGTGAAGTCGCTGGAGGGGCCTCCTATGCTAGCACACTTCTCGCCTCTGCGTGTCTTTGTTGCCAGGGACGTAGAGTTGAATTTGCACACGTTAAACATGCGTGTGATACCTCCCAGGGCTCTGCATGCGTGTTTTTGGCTCCTTTCTCCTGGGGCGTGCTGGACCTGTCTTTATCCACTCCGTTCTTTTCTCTCGGAGGCAGCTTTGTGGGCGCACAGTCAGGCGACAGCCCCTGAAGGCATGGCAGCTTCCGTCCCTCAGCCTGAATGCCAGCCTCCAGGCGAGCCCGGGACTGGCTGAGTCTGCGTTAGGGCCAGCCATGGCCGTGGTCTACTTTATGGTGCAGAGTCATATGACACAAACTCAGATTCTGGGAGTAATTCTTAGAGAAAGGGGTCACCACAGGATGGGAAGATACCCTAACAGGTGTCGACTGTGGGAGCAAAAAGGAGCAGTCATGGCAGTGGATTTCATAAACACTTCTTGGCATTCTGGCTGTGTGCCAGGCAGTGTTCCCGATTAAGAGTTGGCAAGTTTTCTATGTGGGTTTTGTGTGTGTGTGTGTGTGTGTGTGTTTTGTTTTGTTTTCTGTAAAGGACCAAATAGTAAATATTTTAGGTTTTTCTGGCCACATATAGCATCTGTTACATATTATTCTTTGTTTGTTTTGTAATCCTATGAAAACAAAGATATGCAAACCCATTTTTGCCTCTTGGACTGTATGGAAACAAGCTGAGGGCTGGCTTTGGCTGCAGGCGGTGATTTGCTGTGTTCTGGGGGCTAGGACTCCTACAGGGAATGGAACGAAGAAAAACCTCTGCCCTCTTGGACCTTAACTTCTGAGCAGAGGAGAGAAATGTGAGAAGCAGGATGACGACATAAATGAGTTCATACAATGGAAGACATGTTTGGTTAAAAACAAAGCAATACTCGCCGAAACCGGTTTGGCTCAGTGGATAGAGCGTTGGCCTGCGGACTGAAGGGTCCCAGGTTCGATTCTGGTCAAGGGCATGTACCTTGATTGTGGGCACATCCCCAGTAGGAGGTGTGCAGGAGGCAGCTGGTCAATGTTTCTCTCTTATCGGTATTTCTAGCTTTCTATCCCTCTCCCTTCCTCTCTGCAAAAAAATCAATAAAAAATAGTAAAAACAACAACAACAACAACAACAAAAACACACAAAGCAATACTCAATAGGAAGATCAGGGGAGGTTACGTTGGAGCCAAGACTTGTTGGAGTTGAGGAAGCGAGCCCTGTGGGGACCTGGGGACCCCGGGCGGAGGGGACAGCAGGGCCAGCAATGAGGTGCGTGGGGCGCTGGAGAAAAGCCAGAGCACCGGAGAAGTGGGTGAGGGGAGAGCAGTGGGGCGGGGAGGACAGAGGGACCACAGTGTCTGGAGGAGCCGAGGCCTCGTGGGGACTTGGCTTTTCTGAGTAACAGGTGTCCCGGGAGGTTTGGAGCAGAGGAGATCGTTTGGAAAAGGCTTCCTCTGGCTGCAGGGTTGATATCAGACTGTGCAAGGGGCAGAGATGGAAGCAGGGAAGCCAGTGCAGGAGGCCATTGGAAAATCTATTGGGTAAATGGGACACCGATGCCTGAGCAGGACCTGTGCTGGGCCATGTCTGTGTGGACAGAGGTTACATCCAACGTAGAGTAGAGGTCCTGACAGCGGTGTTTGGGGCCTGCCCGCCAGCGCTCCTCCGCCTTCGGCAGCTTCCAAGTAACTGTCAGCCTCCTCCCTGGTCTGTCCTTCACTGCGGCCTCTCCATGTGGCTTCCAGCTCTGCCCCTAAAGCAGGTCATGTCATCGTCAGGGCCTGTGGCCGGGCTGCTCTTGGACTAATTGTCCGTCGCCGGTTGGCTGAGGGGCGGGGGGAGAAGGTCAGATGGTTCAGATACAGCTGTTGTCCCAGCAGAGTCTGTGGGCAGCCCGTCTTGCCTCACGAGGCGGCTGCAGAAGGCAGGCCTGGAGCCGGCCTGGCCAGATGCAGGCCTCCCGTCCCGTTATCTCACACGCACGTCAGCAGCACATTGACACGGCCCTTTCCTTGAGGAGCTTCTGTCTGTGTATTTGGGGGGAAATGACACAGAAATCAGTTACTTCACTTCCCCGGAGACTGGTTGCGGCCCGATGTACAGGCTGCCGAGTGCTGGGCGGCAGGTCGGTGCTGCATGATTCTGGGGATGTCAGACATGTGCTGTCTCACAGTGCCAGAGCATGCTCTGGGCTTGCTCCGGACTCGTGACTTTCCTGTCTTCTTCCGCCATGGAACCCCCGGCCCCACTGAAATCTCACCTAAATCACCAACATATCTGATTGGAAGATAGTTGCCATGGGGTTGAAATGGAGGGTTGGATGCCCAGAGTCTCCCCTCACCAAGTCTCCCCCTTCCCGCTGATGCCCGGGTCCAGCTGAAGATGCTGGCTGAGGAGAGGGGTGGCAGCAAGGACGGGGCAGGAGGCTCGGGAGAGAACTTGGCAGGCTGGAAATCCTGAGGGGGGAGATATCTGAGAAGAACTTTTGCATAATCAGCGGGGCAGTGAGTTAATGAGATTCATATGATTTGGGGGGAGTCTCTCACATCCCCCCTTCTTGAACACAGGACCGAGGTCTTTCGGACGGAACTTGGGGCGCGGCCAGATGCCAGCAAAGTGCTCATCATCATCACTGACGGGGAAGCCACTGACATCGGCGACATCAGCGTGGCCGATGACATCACCCGCTACATCATCGGGGTATGGGCCCCAGGTGCCAAGCCTCTGCCTTCTTCCTCCATCTCATCTTCCCTCTCCTATTTCTGACCCCCACTTCCCTTCTCCCTGGAGCCATGGTCTTGGGAAAATAGTAGAAAATCGGCCTGCGATTCTGAGGAGGTCAGTACTTCTCTCCCTCACAGATTGGAAAGCTATTTCAGAACAAGAAAAGTCAGGAGACACTAAACAAATTTGCTTCAAAACCCGTGAAAGAGTTTGTAAAGATTCTGGACACATTTGAGAAGCTTCAAGATCTGTTCACTGATCTGCAGAAGAAGATCTATGACATTGAGGGTGAGTGGCGGACCCTGGACAGATGGTTCAGGAAATTCTGTACAGAAGCTCACCTGGGATGAGAGGGGAGAGGCGCGCCGGAGAGCAGTGAGGAGCACTTGCTCAGTGGCGGACGCAGTGCCAGGAGCTTCCTGAAGAAAGGCCTTGGGCGGGAATTTAGCAGAGAGTGGCTGAGGAGCGGCTTCTATTCCCTCTGAAACTCCCTCTTCCTCTTCGAGTTTAGCTTGGCCCAGGCTGAGGCCCAGGGCTGAACTCTGTCTCGCAGGAGTTAGCTGAGCCCTGTGGGATGACCATAACGCCTTCCCCTGCCCCCAGCTTCTTCATTTCCCTTATCCTAGGCCTCAAATGGCTTAAGATGGATAAGCGGGCTGTGGCCAATTGAAAGTAGCCCATAGGCCCGCTTCCTTGGTCCAGAAAAGAGAAGACTTTGATTGGCATCACCAGATGGAGGCCTGGCCGTGGGAGGGTTTCCCCGGGGGCCTAGTCTGCTGGAAGGGGCATGGTTCCCACAGGGAAGGGCCCTTTGGGGGCACAGAGCTCTGGTGTTCAGTTCAGCACTTTGGTGACATCCGGCCCAGCCCCACAGTCTTGCTGGAAGACCTCGGTTCAGCGTCCAGGAAGGGGGAATGTGAGAGTTTGAGCAGCAATGTGGTGTTTCTAGTAGAACCAGGGAATCCGCTCTGCCTGTGCTGTGTGACCTCAGCCAGGTCACTCTCCCTCTCCGAGGCTCCTTGTTCTCTGCTAAGTGGGGATGATGACACGGTCTCACAGGCTTGACTGCTGTGCTAGTTGCCTGGGTCTGCTCTGACCAAGTGCCATGCAGCCGGGGGCGCAGCGGCAGACATGTGCTTCTCACAGTGCCAGAGGCCAGGAGGGAGAGCCCACGGGGTCAGAGGGCCAGGCTCTTTCTGGCACGGCTGTCTTCTCCCCTGTGTCTCCATGTTACCGTCCCTCTGGGCATGTCTGTCTCTGTGTCTGACTTTCCCATTTTACAGGGATGTCAGCCATATTGGATTGGGGCCCACCCTCATGACCTCATCCTAACTTGATTACCTCTTAAAGACCATATTTCCAAGTAAGGTCACATTCTGAAGGACTAAGATTAGGACTTCAACATTCTTTTTAAAAATATATATATTTTTATATTGATTTCAGAGAGGAAGGGAAAGGGAGGCAGGGAGGGAGGGAGGGAGGGAGGGAGAGAGAGAGAGAGAGAAAGAGAGAGAGAGAGAGAGAGAGAGAGAGAGAGAGAGAGAGAGAGAAACGTCAATGATGAGAGAGAATCATTGATCGGCTGCTTCCTGCACACCCCCAACTGGGGATTGAGCCCGCAACCCAGGCATGTGCCCTTGACTGGAGTCAAACCCGGGACCCTTTAGCCCACAGGCTGATGTTCTATCCACTGAATCAAACCAGCTAGGGCTCAAACATACTTTTTTTAGGGACAACAACTCAACCCCTAACAACTGCTTAGCAGATTGCTCAGCATTCAATTGTAGCTCTTATTATCTGTAGCTCTTATCCTCTCTTCTGACCTGCACTTACTCATCCTTCAGGTCTTAGTTTACTTATTTTTAAAAAATATTTTTTAAATTTATTTCAGAGAGAAAGGAAGAGAGAGAGAGATAGAAACACCAATGATGAGAGACTCATTGATTGGCTGCCTCCTGCACGCCCCACACTGGGGATCAAGCCCGCAACCCAACATGTGCCCTCACCGCCAATTGAACCATGACCTCCTGGTTCATAGGTCAACGCTCAACTACCGAGCCGCGCTGGCCGGGCAGGTCTCAGTTTAGATGTCACTTCCTCTGGCCAGTGGTCAGGTGTAGTTTGCTGGTGACCCAATGTGAGTTAGTGACATATTGGCGATGGAACAGCGGGACAGGGCAGGGTCAAGGTTGACTCCTGTGTTTTTGGCATGATTCCCAAGGAGGTGGGTGTCATCCGTTGAGGTGGGGAAGTCCCAGTAAGCACAGAAGCCGAATGCTGAGTCTTAGACAGGCTGAGGGCAGTAGCAGGACACCCATCTGGGCTCACGGCGTGGAAGCCCCTTCCCACTGTGTCTCATTGCCAAGTCCGTGCTCTCTCCGCCTGGCGATGCTGCCTTCTCCCTCCGTCCCGCCCTGAGTCTCACCGCGCTCACTGCTCCTGGTCACCGCCCCTCAGGCACAAACAAACTGGACCTGACGTCCTTCAACCTGGAGCTGTCCTCCAGCGGGATCAGCGCTGCCCTCCGCGGGGTGAGTGGAGGCCGGAGCCTCGGGCCACGGGAGGGAGGTCGTGGGAGCAGCCGCCCTGTTCTGACCCTGCTCCGCTCCTCCTGGGCCAGGACCACGGTGTGGTGGGGGCGGTCGGCGCCAATGACTGGGCTGGGGGCTTCCTGGACCTGGAGGCAGACCTGCAGGGCGACACCTTTGTCGGGAACGACCCCTCGATCCTGGAGGCGAGAGCGGGGTACCTGGGTGAGTGCCGGGCCTTTGGTCCAGGGGCCAGAGCGCCGCTCAGACTGACCTTCAGGAAAGCGAGGGAAGCGGTGAAGCCAGGGGTGGACACGCTGAGTTCAAGGTGGCGATGGCGTTCTTAGCTCCCCCCGAGGGCCCCCGCTGGTGTTAGTCATGCTTCTATTTCCCGTGTTTGTGAGGCCTTGGATCCCGAAGTTTTCTCACCCAGAGAGACTGCCCCTCCCGGCCGGCTCACCCCTAAGGGTAGACAACGCCCTCTATGCCAGCCGCAGCCCAGAGGCGGCAGCTGCTTCTGCCCCCAACTTCCTCCACCGCTGGTCTCCCCTGGACCCACGCACGCCGGGGCCGCCCCCGGCCCAGAGAGAGCCCTGCCACCCGCCTGTGCCATCCCACACGGCCCCAGGGCCTCCGCCTGTCACTCCCCCTCCTCCAGTTCCCCCTGCCGGGCCTCCTCCCAAGGACTGCCGGCTCCTGCGCTGGGAGCGGGAGCCCGAGCTCCCTCCTCGGCGGTGGGCCCTGTGTCACAGTCCTGCCCGCACATGGAGCCCAGGGACAGTGCTCCCCCACGCGGTGCGGGAGGACCAGCCCCACCCGCTTCCTCCGCCGAGCGTCCAGGAGCTGCGGCTGGTGCGGTCCCCAGAGCTCCTCCGAGGTCAGGCACGAGGCAGCGAGGGGTCACTCCGCCGCCCGGGTGCCCCTGCCGCCCGCCCGCCCGCCCCTCCCGGGCGGCGGCATCTCCGGCTGCAGGGGCCTCGCCTTAGAGCTCTTCCCATCACGTTGGTGGTGTCAGCCTGCCCCAGGGGCAGACAGGAAGATCTGATTAAAGTCTTCCTCAGCATCTACTCTTTAAGGGAGGCTGCCCTCCGTGGTTTGTCTCTTCTTTCTCTGATGTTCTCTACTGAGCGGGCGCTGCTCTGAGTGTGTGCTGTGTAACGACGTGTTTGGTCTCATTTCACCTTCCCGATAGCCCTGTGAGGAGGTGTTTTATTGCCTCTGGCTTATGGCCGAAGAGCCTGGAGAGGTCACGTACTCACTCACATACTCGCCGGGTCGCACACCCGGAGGCCGGCCCCTCTGCCTCCCAGGGATTTCTGTCCTTTAACATCCGGAAAATGGCGGCAGTGCTGCTCAGAAAGGAGGGAGAAATAACATCTCCACCCCACTGCATGTGCACATGTATGAGTGCGTTATGAATAAGTATAATCTTGAGTGCCTGTTAGGCTGCTATCCTTCAGATCTTAGTTCGGATGTCACCTGCCTAGTGCTAAGCATTTTATAGCAATGGCCTTATTTACTTCTCAAAAACCACCCTGAACGGTTGATACTATCCCTACTTTTAAAAAAATCTTAATCCGAGGATGTTTTTATTGATTTTTAAAGAGAGAGAAGGGAGAGAGAGAAGCATTGATGTGAGAGAGAAACATCTGTCGATTGCCTCCCATATGCGCCCTCTGACTGGGGATGGAACCCTCATCCTTTTTGGTTGAAGCATGGAACGAAGCTCCAACCACTGAGCCGCCCAGCCAGGGCAATCCCCTATTTTTAAGATGAGAAAACTGAAGCTCGGTGGCTTGAGGTAATAACACCAGGATTAAAACTGTGTCACTCTGACTTCAAAGGGCAAGCTCTCCCCTTGTGCTTCGGCAGCAGAGACGAGTGGCTGAGCCTCTTCACCCTCTTCTCGCGTGCCCTTAGGGCCTACACACCTGCTCTCCGCTGGCTCTCCGCTGCTCTGAGCAGAGGAGAAAACTGGGTCAGGGCGCTGCGCTCTGAACGGGAGCGTCCCACTGGCCGGCGCTGGCGCTGCTGACTCCCGGTGCCTCCTGCACATCTTCTCAGACATTGTCAGAGCTGGCGGAGGCCGGCACCTGGCCGGCCAGGCGTGATAGGCAGAGGGAGCCTGAAGCTTGTCTTTAAGCAGGAAATGTCCTCAATATCTGTGCAAATTCTGCATCCCTCTTGCCCATCTACCCCACTTGAATGTCTGATGTATTAAAATGTGGCCTCCTCACCCCAGGGGAACAGCCGCGGGAAGGGCCGTGTCTGCGCTGTGGCTGCTCTGCTTGGCCGGCGCCCGGCCCGGGACACCCAGCGCGGCCGGGGGAGGGGCTGCATGTGCCCAGCACGGCTCCTGTCCTCACGGCCCCCTGGACGGTCCAGCACATCTCTGTTCTGACCGGTCTCCAGGCCCCGCCCCCGCTCCCCTCTCCCAGCAGGCCTTGCACCGCTGACTCCACGTCCGCTCTCCCCGTTAGGCTACACAGTGACCTGGCTGCCCTCCCGAGGGCCCGCCGCCCTGCTGGCCGCTGGAGCCCCCCGATACCAGCACGTGGGGCGGGTGCTGCTCTTCCAACAGTCGGGGGACAGAAGACAGTGGAGCCAGATCCAGAGACTAGACGGGGCCCAGGTGAGCATGGCCCACAGGGCGGGGCCGGGGCTGCTGTGGCCGGACCTCCCTGGGCCTCTGGGCATCGCCCACCTGCTGGTGGCCGGCCTGTGCCAGCTGTCACACCGCTCCCAGCAAGCCCCCTGAGGCCAACCAGTCACCTCCTCGGACCTGAGGGACCCCACTGTCCCGGCTCGCCCGCCTGAGCGGATCGGACCGGCTGTCCCAGGGGCGGCGTCTCCCGCTCACAGGCTCCTCACACCCCTCTCCCGCAGGTCGGCTCTTATTTCGGCGGCGAGCTGTGCGGCATTGACACGGACGGGGACGGGGAGGCGGAGCTGCTGCTGGTCGGAGCCCCCCTGTTCTACGGGGCGCAGAGGGGCGGCCGCGTGTTCATCTACGAGAGGAAGCAGGTGGGGGCCGGGCCTGGGGCTGAGGGGCGGGGTAAGCAGGTTTCCAGGCGGCCGGGGCTGTTGTTTTGAGTCTTTCCCTGTGGGATTGGGTGTGAGTCAGCCCTCAGGACAGCAGACAGGCAGGAGGCAGCCGGTGCTCACGGGGGGCAGCCTGGGGGGCAGGCCCAGCGCCTCCCTGTCTCTGTGCGAGCCCTTCTTTGACCCCACAATCACCTCGCGTGGTGCCATGAGCTGTGTCTTCCGAATGCGAAGTCTGCGGCTCAGGAAGGCCCGGACCTTCCAGAGCTGGCGAGGGGGGAGCCGGGACTCGAACCCGGTTAGTCAGGGCATCGCTGCCGTTCTGCAGGGACCAGGGCCGGCACTCCTCAGTGTCCGTCACAGTGGAAGCCTCCCTGCCGGGCTTGCTGAGTGACCGGCGGGCCTGTCCCCCTCTCCTCCCAGTCGGGGTTCGAAGCGGCCTCGGAGCTGCAGGGGGACCCCGGCTACCCCCTGGGGCGCTTCGGAGCAGCCATCGCGGCGCTGGCGGACATCAACGGCGACGGGCTGGTGGACGTGGCAGTGGGCGCCCCTCTGGAGGAGCGGGGGGCTGTGTACCTCTTCAACGGGCAGCCTGGCGGGCTGAGCCCCAGGCCAAGCCAGGTGAGGAGCCCGCCTGCCAGGGAACCCGTCCCCACGGCCCGCAGCCTCTAACCCAGACCCACCCCACCCCCCTGACCCCACCCGCCCCCGTCCTCCCCCTGCGGCCCGTCCTCCTCCTGGCTCAGCGAGAATGTCTCTCTCCGTCTCAGCGCATAGAAGGGGCCCAGGTGCTCCCCGGAATTCAGTGGTTCGGACGCTCCATCCACGGCGTGAAGGACCTTGGAGGGGACGGCCTGGCAGACGTGGCTGTGGGCGCCGAGGGGCAGGTGATCGTGCTGAGGTGAGACAGGATCCCGGTGCCGCCGAATGTCCATGGAGCTCTCGTCCCTCCGACGGGCCTGCGCAAGCTGCTTCCGGGCGCGAGCTCAGCGGTCTCCGACCCGGAGCAGGTTCTCTCCGAGCAGGCGGCACGCCTCCCCCAGGAAAGCAGCTGTGATTGAACAGGCCTGTCTGACAGGAAGGCCCGGAGAAGGCAGCTTCTCGGGACTCCATGCCCTCGCCTGTGAAATGATGATCAAGTCCCCCGCCTTGCCCATCTCTCAGAGTTATGGGAGATGTCGTGTGACGTCAGATAGCGAATTTACTAAGCGCCTCCTCTGTCTTAAATGCTGACGTGGGTACAGAGAGTAGAGATTGAACAGCAGTGAGATGGCGATTGGAAGTGCCAAGGGAAAGGACGGGCGCTGAGGGAGAGGCTGGCAGGGAGGCCTGTGATAGGCAGAGGGGCCAGACATGAGGTCTGAGCGGGGCCTTGAAGGATGAGGAGGAGCCAGGCCTGCAGGGGTCTGGGGTGGGAAGCCAGGCTGTGCCCAGGCTGTGAGGCCGGCACATGTCCAGTGTGGCTGGGACATGCTCAGCCAACGGGTGTGTGCAGGGGAGGAGACGGAGGAGGGCAGAGTGGCGTGGCTAGTAAGACGTTTGGATTTTGGGGGAGTAAAGTAGCATCAGTGAAGGCTTATAAGCATAGGAGTAGCTCAATATGATTTCTCTCTTTATTTTAAAAATACATATATTTTTACTGATTTCAGAGAGGGAGAGAGAGAGAGAGAAATAGAAACATCAAAGATGTGCGAGAATCATTAATCGGCTGCCTCCTGAATGCCCCCTACTGGGGATCGAGCCTACAACCTGGGATGTGCTCTTGACTGGGATCGAACCCAGAACCCTTCAGTCCACAGGCCAATGCTCTATCCACTGAGATAAACCGGTCAGGGCTGATTTCTCTCTTTAAAAGCTCACTCTTGCCCTGGCCGGTTTGGCTCAATGGATAGAATATCAGCCTGCTGACTGAAGGGTCCCGGGTTCAGTTCTGGTCAAGGGCATGTACCTGGGTTGTGGGTAGATCCCGAGTAGGGGGGGTGCAGGAGACAACTGATCTGTGTTTCTCTCTCACTGATGTTTCTAACTCACTATCCCTCTCCCTTCCTCTCTGTAAAAACTCAATAAAATATGTTTTAGCCGAGACCGGTTTGGCTCAATGGATAGAGCGTCGGCTTGGGGACTGAAGGGTCCCGGGTTCAATTCCGGTCAAGGGCATGTGCCTTGGTTGTGGGCATATCCCCGGTGGGGGGTGTGCAAGAGGCAGCTGATTGATGACTCTCTCATCGATGTTTCTAAATCTCTCTCTCTCTCTCTGTACAAAATCAATAAAATATATTTTTTTAAAAATATGTTTTAAAAATAAAAATTGCCGAAACCGGTTTGGCTCAGTGGATAGAGCGTCGGCCTGTGGACTGAAAGGTCCTGGGTTCGATTCCGGTCAAGGGCATGTACCTTGGTTGCGGGCACATCCCCAGTGGGGGCGGGGGGTGCAAGAGGCAGCTGATGATTCCCTCTCATAGATGTTTCTAACTCTCTTTCCCTCTCTCTTCCTCTCTATAAAAATTCAATAAAATATATTTAAAATAAATAAATAAGAATTAAAAGTAAAAGCTCATTCCTCTGTGTGGAAAATGGGCCAGCAGAGTGCAGCCTGAGCCAGGCGCCGGACGAGTTAGCATCACCATTGGAAGGAGAGGCTGGCGTGGCGGTCTGCCCTCGAGAGGGCCCCCGGGCGCCGTAGACGGGCTGGGGTCCTGACAGGGCTGCCGCGGAGGCCAGGGGCGAGAGCGGCTGTTTCTGCCCACAGCTCCCGGCCCGTGGTGGACGTGGTCACCCGGATGTCCTTCTCCCCCACCGAGATCCCCGTGCACGAAGTCGAGTGCTCCCACTCCAGCAGCGGCAAGAGGAAGGACGGTGTTAACATCACCGCCTGCTTCCAGGGCAAGCTCCTCACACCCCAGTTCCAAGGTCAGTGCTGGCCTCCTGCTCCCAGGGCTTCTGCCCCCCTAGTCCGGGCTTATGGCCCCAGGACCCACCGACACTCAACTCCTGCCTTCTCCCCGCCCAGGACCGCTGGTCACCAACCTCACCTACACTCTGCAGCTGGACAACCATCGGGTGTGGAGCCGGGGCCTGTTCCCGGGAGGGAGGCGTGAGCTCCATGGGAACGTAGCTGTGACCAGCGTCGAGTCCTGCATTGCCGTCTGGTTCCACTTTCCGGTAAGGGAGCCAGCGAGGCCGCGCCAGGAAGTGAAGGGGGGATGAGCTGAGCGAGAGAGGCAGCTCTGGGTGCGAGGCTTAGCTCTGGGCCACCGCTGAGTCAGGAGTCACTTTGGTCTCTCTGTACCACCACTTCCTCTTCTGTGCGACAGTAGAAATAACACCTGTGGCCCGTTTCCTTCCAGCCCCTAATCTAGACACATAGGCATTTTCCACAGGTCTATGATTATAAAGTGCTTTCTATTCTTTCCTACCCTTTTCCTATGCCATGTACTAATGCTGCTGCCCAGCTTTCAGAATTACTTGTCAGGACCACAGAATACCCAGGGGAGAGTGTCACTGTTTGCCGGTACACATGGGCGGTTATTATCCATCTCCTTCTCAGAAAAAGGTCTTTTAATATTGACTTAAACAATTGCTAAAACACCCCAAATCAGTTTGCTCATCAAGGTCCTGTGTAAAATGGGTTTGACTTTAAATTATTCTGGTCTCTTGACTATTTCATAAGAGACTCGTATAGATTGGTGTATAAAATCTTGCAGTTGGCTTTATATTGTTTATTATGGGAATGTTCAGGCATACAAAAGTACAAAAAAAATGGTTGAATGGATCCCATAAGTACCTCTCACCCAGTTTCAACAATTATCAACTCAACTCTATTTCATTCACAGCTCAGCTAGTGCCCCTCTGCCTCCTCACAGCCCCCGCCCCCCGATTACTAAACTTGGAAATTTCTACGCGTAAATTTGCCAGGGAAGAGGCTCTGTGATATGCTAGAAAAAAATAAAGTTTAGACTTGGGAGTTGGAAATATTTGGGTTCACTTCCTAGTTCTAGTCCTTGGAAAAATTGTGTCACCTTCTTAGACCTGGTCTTCCTCCTCTTGAATGTGGAGGGGTGGTAGAAACTAGGTGAATAGGATGTGAGTATCTTCAAATGTCAGTCAGGCACTGGTAACAACAAAAAGACTAAGACTCACCCCTGTTCTCAAGGAACTAGGCTATCCTATATAATAAAAGCCTAACATGCTAAGTGTCCAGTTGGCCATTCAACCAATCAAAGTGTAATATGCTAATGATATGCTAAGGCCACTCAACTGCTTGCTATGACGTGCACTGACCACCAGGGGGCAGACACTCAGATCTGTAGGTTAGCTTGCTGCTGGGGTCTGGCTGATCTGGACTGAGCAAGATGAGCCAGACATATCCTGGAGCCCTCCCGCGTTACTCCCCGGCTGGCCAACCTGGTGGTCAGTGGCTCAGCCACAAGCCGGGCTAATGGCTGACGCGTACAGTGGCCCGCCTCTGTGGCAGCGCTGAGATGTCCGACTGACGGCTTAGGCCCGATACCAGTCAGACATCCCCTGAGGCTCCCTGACTGTGAGGGGCCGGTCTCTAATTCTAGGATATCTTTTTTTGGTGCAAACTTTGATAAAGGTTGCCTAGAGCAGTTGGACAAAGATTCGGTGCTTCTGTCAGGACTCCATGGAAAAAAGTGCTGTGGTGGCTTAGCGATGTCTGCGTGGAACTGGGGCTGAGGGATGACACCCGGGCTGAGAAGCAGCCCCAATGTGGGGTAAATGTATTCCCGCTACTCGTATGAAGACAACTAGTTACCAGCATTCCATCAGTTATAAAACTCAGACAAGGGATGCAGTTGGTTGTGGAATCAAAGGTTAAACTCTTGCCATAAGATGTATCCTTATCTCCCTCAGGTATGCATTCAGGACCTCATCTCTCCCATCAATGTCTCCCTGAACTTCTCTCTCTGGGAGGAAGAAGGGACTCCGAGAGACCAGATGACGGTAAGGAGACATTAGCTGGGGGAATTGCTAGCAAATAGAGGAGAGTAGAAATTCAATTTAGCAACACTATTATAGAGGCGTCTTGGTTTAAAGCAATAGGAACCAAATATGGCTTTCTTAAGCAGGAGAGGAATTTATGGGAGTTTGTATTTAAGGGAAATTTGGAAAAGCAAGATTGAGAAGAAGAGGAATCTGGGTGGAGGCTCTGGGGCCTCTCCAGGGCAAGAAATGATGGATGGACTCTTCAGGGCACACATCCCATTGGTCAGAACATAGTCACATGGCCACACCTGATTACAACAGGCTGAGAAACACATATGGTCATATAACCAGATTTTTAAAATGGAGGCTCTACTTTATTTATTTATTTATTTAAAACTATTTTTTTATTGATTTCAGAGAGGAAGGGAGGGGGAGAGAGAGAGATAGAAACATCAGAGAGAATCATTGATCGGCTGCCTCCTGCATGCCCCGCACTGAGGATTGAGCCTGAAATCCTCATGCGCCATGTCCTTCCCTGGGCCCCTCCTGCTCATCCTTTAGACTTCATTGGAGAGGCCATTCCTTCAGGAAGGCCAACCCCCACCCCCACGTGGGGGTGGGATCTCCTCCCACATGATCTAAAGATTCCCCTGCCCACCGTAACCCTGAGGATGCCAGGTCGTTTCTCCCACCAGTCTGGGAGGGCAGAGTGTGCCCATTGGGTTCTTGGTGCATGCCCAGTGCCCAATGCTCGGCATGGGGCCTGGCCCAGAGCTGGAGCTCTGGAAATATTGCAAAGACTGACCTTGATCTTGAGAGCGGTTGCAGGAGGCGTTGGGGGTCCCAGAGGGAGCACAGAAGCACTCATTAGCCAATGAGCTCAGAGGACATTCCTGCCAGGAGATGGCCGGGAGGAGCTGTGCGGTTGTGTGGTCAGGCCTGGCCTCCTGTCCAGAGAGGGGATGGACACCCTGGTCCGCAGCCCCCCAAGGAGCTACACCAGAGGAGGACTGCTCAGATGGCCTCGGGCTGATTCCGGGGGGTGGCCCTGCCCTGAGAGGGGCGACCACAGCTGGCCCAGCTGAGCCAAGCACTCCCTGCCCCTCCACAAGCTCTGATGCCTCAGCTAACCGCTCCTGCCCCCCCGCTCCCCATGTTCCAGGGCAAGGACATCCGGCCCATCCTGAGACCAGCGCCCCACTTAGAGACCAAGGAGGTGAGAGGGGAGAGTGGCTGACGGATAGCCGGCGCCAGGCCCTCCTGGATCTGGGGCCTGAGCCTCCCGGTCCTTTCTTCTTGCCTTCCAGATCCCTTTCGAGAAGAACTGTGGCGAGGACAAGAAATGCGAGGCCAACCTGCGGCTGTCCTTCTCCCCCGAGAGGTCCATAAGGCTCCCCTCCTGTCCCCCCCCCATTCCCCCCCGCCCCCCCCGGACGGCCAATCCGCCTCACTGGAGGTGTTAACTGGGCCTGTTTCCTTCCCTGAGAATGCCAGTCTCTGTGGCTCTCCCGTCAGGGTTGAACGCGGTTGCAAAGTGTCAGGCCTTCAGGCAGGAGCTGTTTCTGGGGTTTATTTTTTCTGGACTCTGCAATGCCACAAGCCCCGCCTCCGATCCCGCTTCCTTCACCTTAACCCCCTGACTTTCCCCGGTCTTCCCCCAGATCCAAGGCCCTGCGGCTGACCCCCTCGGCCAGCCTCGCCGTGGAGCTGACTCTGAGTAACTCGGGCGAAGACTCCTACTGGGTCCAGCTCCGCCTGGCTTTCCCCTGGGGACTGTCCTTCAGGAAAGTGGAGGTGCTCAAGGTGAGAGGAGGCCCAGTCCCTGCAGCCTCTGCCCCTCTGGGCACTCAGCAGCCGGGCGCGGGCAGCCCCAAGCACAGGTCTTCCGGCCATAATTGGGGTCACACCCTCAGTTGTATGGCCTGAGATACAAGGTTCCCCTCTCTGAGTCTCAGATTCCACAACCACCAAATGGGGGTGAGGACACCCTCAGGGTGTGAGAGGGTCCCGAGGCAGAGGCTCTGGGACCCGCTGAGCAAGAACATGCGCACAGGGTCAGTGAGACCTCCCACCCTCCTCCAGGTGACCAATGGGTTTTGAGGCCTGGGTTGTCTTAAATACAACTTGCATTTTTAAAATTATGATTACAAAAGTAATACGTGATCCCCACAGAAACTCGGGAATTATAGAAACGCTTAAAGATGGTAATCACCCAGACTTCTATAGCTCAGCAATTACCACTTTGACTATTTTGGTATTTGTCCTTCTGTTTATACATACAAATTGCATCATATATATATATATATATATATATATATATGTGTGTGTGTGTGTGTGTGTGTGTGTGTGAGTGTGAGTGTGTATACACACACACACACACACACACACACATATATATATATATATATATATATATATATATATGGTGTATATATATGGTGTGTGTGTGTGTGTGTGTGTGTATACACACCATATATATATACCGTATATATACAAGAGGCCCAGTGCACAGATTCCTGGGGTCCCTCAGCCTGGCCTGCGGGGACCAGGTCAAAACTGGACTCCAACATCCCCCAAGAAGTCCCTGATTTTGAGAAGGTGCAGGCCAGGCCGAAGGACTCCGTTGGTGCACAGTCGGGCAGGAAAGGACTGTGGGAGGGCTCCAGGGCATATCCAGTCCATCTCGCACAGTCCCAATTGGCCAGACCCCAACAGCAAGCTAACCTACTGGTTGGAGCATCTGCCCCATGGTGGTCAGAGCACATCATAGAGACTGGTGGAATGGTAGAACTAACAGTTAGAACTTAGAATATTAGGCTTTTATTATATAGGATTATATATTTTTATTGATTTCAGAGAGGAAGGCAGAGGGAGAGATAGAAACATGAATAATAAGAAAGAATCATTGAGCAGCTGCCTTCTGCTTACCCCCTACTGGAAATTAAACCCTCAACCCAGGCATATGCCCTTGATTGGAATCGAACCCAGGACTCTTCAGTCTGCAAGCCAGTACTCTATCCACTGAGCCAAAACAGTTAGGATAATTTATCAATTTATTTATTCTATATTTGTTTTTTACTACAATGGCATTTCCCCCCATATTTTTTTTTTTAATGTTTTTAGTGTGGTAAAATATGTGTACTATAAACCTTACCATTTTAACTATACAGTTCAGTGGTCTTGGGTACATTCATGATATTGTGCAACCATCACCGAGATCTATTTGCAGAACTCTTTCATCATTTCAGAAGTTCTGTACCCTTAGGCAATAACTTCCTGTTCCCCTCTCTGCCCCTGTGACTCTGCTTTCTATCTCTGAATTTGCCTATTCTGGATATTGCTTACGAGAGGGATCATACACTTGTCCTTTTGTGCCTGTATGACTTCACTCACAATGACTTGTTGAGGTTCATGTGACAGCACGTGTAACGTTCACTCATCTTAAGGCCAGGTGCTTTCCCGTGGCAGGGACAGAGCACACTGTCCCCCTCACCTGTCCATGGACACTGGCCTGTTCTTACACAGCAGCACCCCGTACTTCCCCAAGGGGCATCTAACGGAGTGACAAAGAACTTGAGATGCCGAGTCAGACAGGCCTGTGCTCCTGTCCCTGCCGGATCCCTGCCGGCTTCCTCCGCTTGAGACCTTGAGCAAGTCACTCACCTCCCGGCCTCTGTTACCTTATCGAGTTCCCTTCCCCTGCGGCCCTCGCAGGGTGTGATGACGAGGAATGGTGCTGCGTTGCCTCCATCAGGCGCTTTAAAAATGGTGGCAGGATGTGTCGCTGTAAGAGCAGCGTGACACCCTCCCAATATCCTCTCCTGTGATGGCATCACAATTGGCTGCACCATTCCTGCCTCTCTGAGGGCTTGGTCACTCCCGGTTCTCCCTATTGTCAATAGCAGGCACAAACCCTCGCTGTGCCCCTGTGCTTTGGCCCCACCCCAGAGAATGTGCCCGAAAGGGGCAGAGCTGAGGGTAGGCGGCCTCTGGGAACCCTTTGCCTTGGCCACTAAAACACCTGTCCTCTCTCTCCTCACCGCCAGCCCCACAGCCAGCTGCCTCTGAGCTGCCAGGAGCTGCCGGAGGAGGAGCCCCGGCTTCCCACCAGAGGCCTCTCCTGCAACGTGAGCTCTCCCATCTTTAAGGCCGGCAGCTCGGTGAGTGCTCAGGCCGGGCGGCGCAGTGAGCACCCGTGGGCGGCAGCTCAGTGATGCCGTTATGGGGTTGGGTTGGGGGCTGTGTGGTGCCTCGGGGCTCAGGCCCTCCCTCACCCCCCCTCCCCGCCAGGTTGTTATCCAGGTGATGTTTCACACGCTGCTGAACAGCTCCTGGGGGGACGCCGTCACGCTGCACGCCAATGTGAGCTGGTGAGCAGGCCCAGGCAGCCCACCTCCCCGCCCGGACTCCGTGCCCTGCAGCTCAGGCCGAGCCCGCTCTTAACCGGCCTTTCCCTGCCCCGCAGTGACAACGAGCAGCCGGGCCTCCTGGAGGACAACTCAGCCACCACCAGCGTCCCAGTCCTGTTCCCCATCAACATCCTCACGGAGGAGTGAGTCTCCCTCCCACCCAGGGCCCAGACCTTGCCTCCCCGCTGTCCCTCAAAGCCCCGCCCTGGTCCAGGGTCGTCCCCCCTCACCCCGGGGTCATCAGTTTTCAACGCACAAAAGAGCGAAGGCCCTTTAAGAGCTCGGAGTCAGATCACCGTTTTCTGGGGATGAAAAGGCACACGGATGTGACCTCCGCAGACCTGGGGCGGCACTGCTCCGCCCATGGCTCTCCCAGGGCTTTCGGCGCCTGGGGAGCAGCTGCGCCCCCATTTCACCAAAGAGCAAACGGAGGCTCAGAGTCCACGGCGGGGAAGCACTGGCGCCGGACTCTGAGCTTGAGTCTGAGTCCAAGACCCAGCCGAGCTCGTTCTCCACGGTGCCGGGCGCCCGGCCTTCCTGCCAGCGCTGCGGCAGAGGTGGGCGAGAAGCGCTCAGGTGGCTCTGCCCGCTCAGCGCTGACACTCGGATCACAGACCGAACTCTGCGTCCACGGGAGCAGTGGGCTTCAGGATACTGTGGAAGGAAGGCCAGGGGTCACAGGTTGGATTTTCGCGTTTGCAGAAAAGGAGATGAAGCAGAAAGGTAGAGGAGCTCAGTGAGCTGAGAGCAGGGCCAGGCCTGAGCCAGCGACCCCGGTGCTTCTGAAACCAATGCCGGACACAGTGACACTGTCAGACGTGCTATGACATTAGAGCCGGGAAGGATGGTGTGGGTGGAGGAGAGGTGGAAGGTGCAGGGAACCGGGGTTTGAACCAGGGTCTGGAGCGTGAGGACCAGGCCAGGGAGGAGGGGCACTCCTCAGGGACAGCAGCCTGGAGAAGGCCTGGAGCAGCCAGCAGCCCGCAGATCTGGGGGCAGGAGCGGGGACTCGGGGGACGGCTGGTCTGTGCGGGGCCAGCAGGCAGCCAGACCGGGATCTGGCTTTGGACCTGACCTTGTGGGGGCTAGAAGCCTCTGATGGGTTCTGTGTGGTGAGTGGCAGGATCCAGGGTGCTGTGAGGAAGGGAAAGATGGGTGGCAGGCAGCCAGGGCTGGCGCACTTGTGCAGGCGATGAGCAGTGGCCAGCACGGGAGACCTGGGAGTGGTGTGTGCTGGGAGAACATGGCTCCACAGGCTCCCTGGGTCCGGTCCTGGTTCTTCCCTGCAGGACTCTGGGCAAGAGGCTGCCCCCTCCCACCGGCCTTGGTCTCCGAAGGGAAATAGCGGGGTCTTGTAAGGATTCTGAGGTGCCAGCGAGGTCCCCACCAGTGCTGGCCACTCAGAGGCTTCCGTGGCCAGCCCTGGTCGCCTCTGGGTTGCTGTCCTCTCCACCTTCTACCTCTGCTCTTCTCTCCACAGCCAGGAAAGCTCCACACGCTACATAATCTTCACCCCCAAGGGGACCAAGACCCACCAGGTCAAACACGTCTACAAGGTACGAGCCGCAGCGCGGAGGGCCCTGACGGTCACGTCTGCGCAGCCCCCGGCCCTTTCTGCGCTCTCACAGCCCACACGGCAGTCTTCCGGGACAGCACAGGCGGCTGGCTCTTTTGTACAAAATACTCAGGAAACGTTTCTTAAATTAGGTCAATGCAGTTGCCCAAACGAGCCTTTCCCAAGCCTCGTTGGCTAAATAATTCTTGCATCTAGCCTTGTTAAATGTCATTCATGCTTTTGCTCATTCAGAAAATGACTTTTCTTGAGGCCTGTTCTGTGCTGGTCTCTGTGCCAAGCAGTAGGGCACGCGGGTGAAATAAACCACAGCTCCTGCTCTCAGAGCCCACAGCCCCTCGGACATACGGGCACCGAGCAGACCCGTGGCCATCCCGCCGGGGGTGTGGAGCACTGTGGGAGCACAGGCATGGGAGCACAGGTGTGGGGAGCAGCCCTGTTCGTGAGGCAGACTTCCAGGATGGTATCTGAGCAGTGACTCGCAGGACGTGGGAGGTGTGCCACGGGGAGAAGGCAGAGAAGCACATGGGACCCGCACATGTCACTGAGGACAGGGCGGGTGGTGCCCTCAGCCTGAGGAGTGGCCTCAGCCAGTGAGCACTGGGCTTGGAGGGCACGAGGGTGGCTGGCTTCAGGGCTCGGCAGCCACTTGTCCTCTGTACCAGGTGAAGATCCAGCCGTTTGTCCATGACCCCCACGTGCCCGGCCTGGAGGCCTTGATCAGGGTGCCAGGGCCTCCAAGCGAAGGGCCCATCAAACACACGTGGGCCGTGCAGATGGTGAGTGCTGCCGGAGGGGAGCACGCCCAGGGCTGAGGGGCTGGGTACAGATTGGGGAGGGAGTGAGGAGGGATGAGTCCTGCCCCCTCGGTGGTGTCTGAGTCTGCCAAGGGCCAGGCGGAGAGAACCGGAATGTCAGGGCCTGCCTGTGGGGCGGAGAGAAGGCCAGTCCTCCCAGCTCTGGACTAACAGATCCTCATCCCTAGGAGCCTCCTGTCTCCTGTCACAGTGAGAGCCTGGAAAGGCCACCCAGCGTGGCTGAGGTAGGGACATGTGAGTAAGGGGGGAGGGGGGCAGCATGCAGGTGGAAGATGGGCCCTCAATCCCCTGCTCTCCTTGTTCCCAGCAGCCTTGCCTGCCTGGAGCCCAGTTCCGCTGCCCAGTGGCCTTCCAGAGGGAGATCCTCGTCCGAGTGACCGGGACTGTGGAGCTGGTGGGGGAGATCAAGGTAGCGCTGCTGGCGAGACAGGAGGGCTTGGGGGGGGGGGGGGGGGGAGATAGGGGTATGGGATGGGGGTTCTCACCGATGTCTTTCTGCATTTCCTGTTTTTATCTTGAAAAGTCCCGATGTTTATGCAGTTGCAGATGAAAGAGAACCATGACATGCTCCACGTTTGCAGGCTGTTTTCATGGTTCTTTATGGGGAAGCTCCTTCCAGCAGTGGAGGTGGCACACTGGGCTGCAGAACCCACGACCGGCCGGCTGCCATGCACCGCTCGGACCCATTCTCCTCCGCCTCCGCCCTAGGTGGAGGTGGGGCAGGAGTCAGCGGCACTTGGGCCTGTGCTCGGCTCTGACGCCTCCCCCTCCCACAGGCCTCCTCCATGATCAGCCTCTGCAGCTCCCTCTCCGTCTCCTTCAACAGCAGCAGGCACTTCCACCTCTACAGCAGCAACGCCTCCCTGGCCCAGGTATGCTCACCTCCCAGAGGCCCCGGAGCAGAGGTCAGCGGAGAGGCCCGAGGGGCAGGGGCAGAGCTGGCAGTGGCAGCCCAGGGGAGGTGTGGGCTGGCACAGGGGAACTCCCACAGCCAGAGCACCAGCCTGGGCAAAGGCTCCGCAGAAGCCGAGGGCTCTCACCGCCGCTGGTGAGCAAGCAGACGGCGAGGCTACCTGGCCGAGATGCGTCAGTAAAGATGGATTTGGAGGCAGCTCAGCAAAGGCAGAGCAGGACCAAAGGCCAAGGCGGGAGGCAGCAAGGGCAGGGCCGGATTGAGAGGGGCGGGCAGGTTAAGAGCAGAAGGCTCAGCACAGAAGGGAAGTTGCGGCTAAAGAGGTGAGCAGAGCACTTTGGGGAGGCTGTGCAGGCTGAGTTGCGAAGCTGGCGTTTCCTCCTGGCTCTGAGGGCAGCCGCCTCGGACTGTGTGCGTGTTCGCCAGCTCACGCTGGTGGCCGCAGCGGGGTGTGTGGGGAAAGGGCCTGGGCCAGAGCCTGGTGCGACCAGTCCAGACTGGAGATTCGGAGACCTGGAGACGGAGGCCGAACTCACAAGACATCTGGGGGTGGGGCTTCTTCTCTGACTCCCCCCTCTGCCCTCCCAGGTCGTCCTGAAGGTGGACGTCGTGTACGAGAAGGACATGCTCTATCTCTACGTGCTGAGCGGCGCCGGCGGGCTGCTGCTGCTGCTGCTGATTTTCCTGGCGCTCTACAAGGTGGGAGCTTCTGGAAGGACGGGCCTGGCTGAGCAGACGGGCGGGGGTAGGAAATGGCAGAGCCAGGGAGGAGAATGGCGAGGCCAGGAGCATCAGCGCCTCGAAGGGTCTCAGCCTACTTCCTCCTTCTACAGATAAGGCCACTGAGGCCCAGAGACTCCCCGCCTCACTCCCCGAGCCTGCCCAGGCAGGGTGGGGGCCAGGGGGAGGAAGAAGCGCTCCCCCACAAATCCAGATCCAGGCACTGGGTGCAGAGGCGCGTGCTACAAGCAAGGCCCTGCCTCTGCGGGGCTCACAGTCTCCTGGGGGAGACACAGGGACACGTGACGGGGGCTCCCCCGCGGGGCTGCGTGCTCGGAGCCTGTGGCTCGGCAGCCTCGCATGGGCCTCCGGGGAGCGGGCCCGGACTGGGATTGAAGGGGGAGTGGAAGTTAGCGAGGGGACGGGGCTGGAGGGCAGTGTGGCCTGGAAACATGCACACGTTCCAGGAAAGGACCTAAAATTAAAGTTTCTTTCTACTGAACCCCCAGAGGGCTGTCATTAAAACAGCCTTTCTGTTTCTATCCCGTAGGTTGTGGTTTTGTTGTCAACGTGTGTGTATGTGTGAGCGTGAGATGGAGAAGTCAGCGTGTGTATGTGTGTGTGTGTGTGTGTGTGTGTGTGTGTGTAGGAAACGCGAATGGATTAGACTGTGTTACCGCCTGGAAACTCATATTATCCCCGATGTTATACCTCAACGCCCTCCCGCCTGAGCTTCTCGCTTTGTAACCAGTGGTTTTCTGCCCTCCGGGTGTCCCACCATATTTAACACATTCTCTGCTGGAGAACATTTAGATTGTTTGTAACTTACACCTGTTTCAAGGTTCTTGTTACCCACACCTTCGCACACTGCTCCAATCGCTGAGCCAAATAATGTATATGTTTGGAGCTTTCATCAGAGACCACATGACCCATACTAAGCACTGTATAAGCATCGGCTCTTATTAATATTACTAGATATTGTAATATGCACCCCAAGCCACCCACCTAAAGTATTGGTTCCTGGCGTTTTCCTGAGTCAAAAGAATGAACCAGTGGCCCTGGCTGGTTTGGCTCAGTGGATAGAGCGTTAGCCTGCTGACTGAAGCGTCCCGGGTTTGGTTCTGATCAAGGGCACATACCTGGGTTGTGGGCTCAATCTCCAATACAATTAGGGACATGTAGGAGGGAGACAGTCAATGATTCTCATCATTGATGTCTTTCTTTCTTTCTCTCCTTCTCCCTTTCTCTTTGAAATCAATCTATATGTAATTTTTTTTTTTTTTAATGAACCAGGAAACGTACAGCTTTTTAGCATTTTGCCAAGACCCAGGTGTGGCGGACACTCTCGCCCGTCCCTGGAGCAGACACCGCGTGTCATGGCTCACACGGACAATTAACATAAAGGGTGCTTTCATGCTTTGCTTGGACCAGCTGTGCCTCATGGACGACTGCTCACTCAGTCCCGCTCTTCCTACAGGTCGGCTTCTTCAAGCGGAACCTGAAGGAGAAGATGGAGGCCACCGCCGATGCCGCCAACGGGGTCCCCGGAGAAGGCCCGGGGCAGCTGGCGTCTGAGGAAGAGGCCCCGGACCCGAGCTGCGTGGATCTCCTCCCCAAGGAGACGGCCCTGGACGGAGGCGGCACAGACTGAGCCAGGCTGGCGCAGAGGGCCGGCGCCGGACTGGGGTGCTGGTGCCACTCTGCTCTGCCTGCATGTCACTGTGTCCTCTAGTCCAGCAGTCGCCAACCTTTCGGACCTCGCAGACCACCAGTTGGCGACCGCTGCTCTAGCCAGTCTGCCCCTGCTCAGCCCCCTGTTTCAGTCTTGAACATGAAGCTCACTCCTGCCTGCCCCCAAGGGACTGGCCAGGAAGCTGCCAAGGTGAGGCCTGTGGTTACCGGCTGGTCCTGCTTGGCTTCCTCCCTGGAAGAGCGGCTGATCTAAATTTGGAGAAATGGTGACACTGCCAGCCCTCAGCCCACCTGCCCGCGGCCTGCAGAGGCCTCGGGCTGCCAGAGCCTTGCCCGCTCTCTGCTGCCCGGAGCCCGGCCTCCATTCCGCGCCCGAGAGCAGATCTGCCCCGGGTCACCGCTCCTGCTGCAAACCCTGTGCTTTAGCTAGAGACCGGATTCCTTCCTGTGCCTCCCAAACCTGCAAAACAGCCTCAGGGTGCACCCGCCAAAGGGCCCCCTGCCTCCCGCCTCCAGCAGAGCCCTCCCCCCTCCCTGCTAAGCTCCGGTTACACAGCTTTGTCCTGCCTCACTGCCTTCACCCAGCCTGCTCTGCCCCCTCATTCCTCCCTCTTCCCGGCTGACTCCCATCCATCTTCAGATCTCTCTTTGAATGCTTTGTGTCTTACTCTGTTCTCTGCCCCAGGGCAGCCCGCCCTGGCTTGTCTGGGTTCCCACACCATGCATGCTGACGCTGGCCTGCAATTAATTGTCCGTCAGGTGTTCATTGTAAAGGATTTATTTCCTATCCTCGTCTCAGATCCAGCAGGAGCTCCAGGCTAGGCACCGGACCTGGAATCCTGGTGATATCACAGGGCTGGCACGGAGTAGGTGCTTGACACATGTCACTCCGTTAAGCAGGGAGCCTGTGGGAGATGGAGGAAGTTTGGATGGGGCCATGGCATCCCTCTTAAGGCTCAGCCTTCCACAGCGCCTACTCCACAGCCCCGCAGGACTCGGTCACACCCCACTGGCTCCCCTGTGAGACCTAAGCTCAGGGTGGGGACCTGGGAAAGCCAATAAATGGGAAAGTCTGTCCGATAAGGTGATGTTTCTGTGCTGGAGCCACGTTCCAGCCCCATCTCATTAAGTGAACATTTTCTTCTCAACCCTTTCTCTAAGTGGAACCCAAACAAGCGAGAGAAGCGGAAGAGCGCGACCGTAGACACCCTCACGCTCACTCATCTCGCAGATCCTAGCTCTCTACAACTCCCCCTCCCTCTCTCCCCCCCCACCGTCTCCCTCTCCCCCCCCTCTCTCCCTCTTTCTCTCTCTCTCTCCCTCCCTCTCTCTCTCTCTCTCTCTCTCTCTCTCTCCCCCCCTCTCTCTCTCTCTCTCTCTCTCTCTCTCTCTCTCTCTCTCTCTCTCTCTCTCTCTCTCTCTCTCTCTCTCTCTCTCTCTCCATCTCTCTCTCATCTCTCTTTCTGTGAGTACCCTAAGACTGGCCTTGCCTGTTATTGTGGGCTAGTTCAAAAGAGAAGCGGAGAGAGACACAGGAAGTGAGGAAGGCCCGGGAAGCACTGACAACTTACTAAGAGGTGAGAGCAGACCAGACTCCCCTTTTTGAAAACCCTGAGGCCCCTCCTTTAGACGGAAAGAGGGGCCAGTCACTGCTGCCCTCTCGTGGTCCCTTTTAACTCGTGACTATCACAGAACTACTAAGAGGACCGAGTGTCTGCAAGGGAAGCCTGTCAGGCTGTGCTCACTCACATGATATTTCTTTGAATGCTTTGTGTCACACTCTGTTCTGTGCTCTGAGCACATGGGGTGAACATGCCTCAGGAAGCTTCACTCCATTGAGAAAAAAGTGGAAATATGCTTCCAGGTAGTGATAGGGCTGAGAAGAAATGAGTGGGGATACCAAGTGAGAGGGTGAGGGAGAGGGTCCTCTCAGGTAGGCGGCCAGGAAAGGAAAGGCTCTCTAAAGAGGTGACATTCTGTGACGTGGGGGGAAAGTCCATATTCGCATCCAGGTTGGAAGCAAAAAAGCACAGAAGATCTGGGAGGCTTGCCCTGGCCGATGTGGCTCAGTTGGTGGGGTGGCATCCAGTGCAACAAAAGGTTGGTGGTTCAATTCCCAGTCAGGGCACATGCCCAGGGTTTCGAGCTCTGGAACATGTTTGGAAGTTTCCAGTAAGGGGGAGTGCAGGAAGCGGCCAACCACATCCATGCTTCTCTCTCTCCCTTCCTCTCTAAAGAGAAAATATTTTTAAAATTAATTGTTTTAAAACTATCTGAAGGCTTAGTTCAGGACCAGACCTGCCATCTCACCCCCAGGTCTCCCACCTTCCTTGCCAGCACCTGTCCTCGCAGAGCTGTGTCCTTTCCCGCCGCCGCTGTGCCTTCGCAATGCGGTTCCGCCCTTTTCCAGCCAGGAAAACCCTCCGGCTTCACAGCTGTTCTCAATCCCACAATTCCTGGGCAGAAGTACGCAGCCAACAGCACGTTGTTCATACCTCATTGGAGCACATCACACTGACTGTGTGGGCTCCTGTCCCGAGAGTAGGAGGTTCTGGAAGGCAGGTCGCAGGCCTCACTCAGGTATGTTGCCGACGCTGACCCTCACCAGGGCTGGCACAAAGGAAGCGTTCAGTGTGGCCCTCAGATGTTTTGGTTTCAGGACCTCTTTATACTCTTAGGGATTATTGAGGATCCCCAAAGAGCTTTTTTTTTTTTTTTACTTGGGTTACATCTAGTTGCATCCCGTTAGAAATTAAATGGAGATAAATGTGAGTTGTAACACGCAAGCCTACATGCCACACAGCACATGCGAGTGATGAATCTGCCATGACGAAGCATGCACCTCCAGGAAACACTCCACTCACGGGAGGGAGATGGTGACAAAGTGGCATCTTTTTTTTTTTTTTTTTTTTAATATATTTTATTGATTTTTTACAGAGAGGGATAGAGTTAGAAACATCGATCAGCTGCCTCCTGCACACCCCCGACTGGGGATGCGCCCGCAACCAAGGTACATGCCCTTGACCGGAATCGAACCCGGGACCTTTCAGTCCGCAGGCCCTGACGCTCTATCCACTGAGCCAAACCGGTTTCGGCCAAAGTGGCATCTTAGTGTTGATACGAAAGGAGGCAAAACCCAGTCAGCCCTGGGTCTGAATCCAGCTCTGCTGTGTGGTGTGGGGCAATTATTCTCTCTGGGACTCATTTCTTCATCTGTAAAATAGAAATAACTGTACAGGGGTGGGCAGAAGTAGATTTGCAGTTATTTGTATGGAAAATAATAAATAACAATACAAGAATAAACTCTGTGTTTCACATACTCAAAACTGTGCATCTACTTTTGCTCCATCTCAGAGCTGTGAGGAGCCTTAAATAGCACTTGGAAACTGTGGGTCCCTGTTCCCAGCCCAGCAGCCTGATAACTGGGCAGAGTAGTGGTTTAGTGTGCAGGATGGTGTGGTACAAGCAGCATCCTGGACCACAAGTCAAGACAGCTGCTGCTGGAGTTCTGGCTCTCCCACCGTGATCTTCGGAAGACGCATGCTCTTCCTGGGTCTGGTCTGCCTGACCTGGGATCTGGAGGTACCTCGGGAATTGTCACAAGAGAAAGGGGTGGGGGCTGAGCAGCTGAGCCCCACCCTCATTTGATCAGCTTTTATATACTAACTAGAGGCCTGGTGCACAAAATTCATGCACAGTGGGGTGGGGGGGTTCCCTCATCCCAGCCTGCACCCTCTCCAATCCGGGATCCCTTTGGGGATATCCGACTGTCAGCAGTCAGACATCCCTCTCACGATCCTGGCTGCTGGATCCTAATTGCTTACCTGCCTGCCTGCCTGATTGCCCCCCAACTGCTCCCTCCTGCCAGCCTGGTTACTCTTAACTGTGCCCCCCCTGCTGACCTGGTCACCCCTTATTGCCCCCCCCTGATGGCCTGGTCACCCCACACAGCCTGCTGTTCAGTTGTTTGGTTGTCCCTCACTAACTCCCCTGCTGACCAGGTTGTAGGCAGCCATCTTGTTAGGGTGTGAGAGTTCATTTGCATATTATCTCTTTATTATATAGTACTAGATGCCCGGTGCACGAAATTTGTGCATAGGGTGGGGGGGAGTGCAGGGGTGTCCCTCAGCCCAACCTGCACCCTCTCCAATCTGGGACCCCTTAGGGGATGTATGACTACCTGTTTAGGCCTGATCTGTGGGACAGGCAGTCAGACATCCCTTTCACAATCTAGGACTGTTGGCTCCCAACTACTCACCTGCCTGCCTTCCTGATTGCCCCTAACAACTTCTGCCTGCCAGCCTGATCACTTCCTAACCACTCCCCTGCCAGCCTGATTGATGCCTAACTGCTCCCCTGTCAGCCTGATCATCCCCAACTGCCCTCCCCTGACACCCTGGTCACCCCAAAATGCCCTCCCTTGCATATTCCCTCTTTATTAGATAGGAGTGTATAAGAGGCAGCTGATTGATATTTCTCTCTCATGGATGTTTCTAGCTCTCTATCCCTTTTCCTTCCTCTCTGTAAAAAAATCAAATATATATATATATATATATATTTTTTTTTAAGAAACATTTAAGATTCCTCTATATCTGCCTGGCTGATGTGACTCAATGGTTTAGATCCCAGGCTGCCACTGCTGGAAGGGGATCACGCCCTGTCCAGGCTGAGACCCCAGCCCAGGCAACCATCTCAAGGTGGGGATCTCTAGGTGGGGGTGCGTGGCCCTAATCCAGGCTGCCACCACTGTCCTGAAGATGGCATGGCAGAGGTATGAGGCCCTGCTGGCCTGAGACCCCAGCCCAGGCTGCCACTGGACTGAAGATTGTGCAGTGGGGGTGCATGGCTCTGCTGGCCTGACACCCCAGCACAGGCTGCTGCTGCTGCCTGGGGATTGTGCAGGGCGCTGGTGCCTCTCAGCTGGACACCCCAGGCTGCGGCCACTGGGCGGGGATCGCTGAGTGGGTGGCAGGTGCCTCCCTGCTAGACACCCTGAACTGCTGCCACTGGGTGGACTTGGGGACTCCTGCAGGGCTAAGAGGACTGAGCACCGCCATCTTGTGGCTATGGGCACCGCCATTTTGTCGTGGAGTGATGGTTAATTTGCATATTACTCTTTTATTAGATAGGATGTTTTTTGTGTACCAGCTACTTTATCAATTAAGCACCGCAAGCACCGTGACCAGCTTAAAAGAGTATGAACATATTTGGAAGCTGAAAAAAGAAATCAACTCCAAAATATGAAAATTAAATTGTGTAATAGAAAAAAAACAAGTAATGTCTCCAAATATAGTATTTCAGGTAGTGAAATGCAGTTCTATGTATATACTTACATAAGTGAACTATACTACATATAGGAGTCAGAGTATTTTAATATTTGAAATTTTGTATGGTAGGGTGTCTGTATAAAAATGTACATAACGTTTATAAAGATCTTTAAAAGACAGATTTTACTTTAAGGGTTCTATTTCCAAAAATAATGAAAACTTTGAAAACCACTAAACACAACCAAACTCTACTACGGCATCACACGATCTCCCAGGCCCCTTCCAGGGCTTGCCGATGAAGAGGCCAGATTGAGATGTGCTTGGAGAAGTGGCTCACTCCTGACAAGCTATAAGGCCCTGAGGACAGCACGGGGGTGGGGATGATGTCGGGATCCTGAGGCCCTGGAGACCCCAGCAGGGGTCCTCAAACTTTTTAAAGTGGGGGCCAGATCACGGTCCCTCAGAGAGCTGGAGGGCCGGACTATATGAACTACTAATTCCTACTGTAACACCTCGGCTGCGCTCACTGCCCAAAAAACCAGGCGGGCCGGATCAGACTCCTCTGCGGGCCGCATGTGGCCCGCGGGCCGTAGTTTGAAGATGCCTGCCATAGAGCAATGACTCCCTGCCTGCCTGCCTGCCAAGCGGGGGCCAGGTGGAGCCAAGTGGAGCCAGGTGGACCTCGTCGAATGTCTTATCTGCCTCTTAAGTCACAGAGTAACTCTGAACAGGCCACTTAGTTCTGTGAGCTCCGTTTTCCTCATCTGTGAAATAAACAAACCTCCACAGGGCACTGTCAGGCCCTTAGCAGTTCATCTCAAGATGTGCCTAGCAGCCAGGTGCCTCCCCAAGGCATGGCCTGTCCCCTCGGCTAAGGTATCACAGGCCACGCCCCAGAATCCTCCCTCACCTCCCCCCTTTCCCATCCCCCATCCCCCATCCCCCATCCCCAATCACTGATGGCATCAACTTCCCATCCTTTCCTAAGGAGCCAGTGTTAGGAGGGCTGAGGCTCAGAGGGAAAGTAGGATAAAGATGGGGTGGTAACGGGGTGATGCCACGGAAATGTTCAGGGGTCCTAAAAAGGAGGACGAGCTGTGGCAAATCAGGCCAGTCTGGTGGGTGGGTCTGACATCCAACCCTCGTACTGGGTCCAATACAGAGACCCCTGTGGATGGGGCTGAAACTTGGAAGTCCTGGTCAGAGGCAGGATCTGCAGAGCGCTGGCTAGAGGCTGCAGCTGGTGGGGTGTGGGGCTGGGGGAGCGACACAGCTGGGGAGGAATGGTCCACGGGCTCCTTGCCCAGATATGAGAATCAGGGTCTGTTTTCTGGCCCAAGGGCAGACGCTCCCTGTTTGGGAAGAGGGAGAGCCACAGTTTGGAAAGGCTTTCTCAAACCCACAACAGGCCCCTGTGTGTCTGTGCAGCATTCAAAGTGTGGACGATGGCTGGGGCAGATACGGACAAGTCACTTCTCCTGAGCCTCCAAGCCAGTGAAACCCTGACTTACTGCAACAGCACTTCCCAGACGCGGCCCTGTGGCTCCACTGGCTCTTCAGTTATGACTCAGTGCCTCCCACTGCCCATGCACACACTGAGGACAAAGCTCTTTAACCACATAGAGGTTTTTATTTAACTCAAATCCAGGGGCTCCAAAGCCTGAGGAAGACAAGGGAGACTGGGGTTTGCACTCAGAGGCCCAGGCCCCACTCTGGGCTTCACTCCCCACCCCACCTCCCCTCATCCCTTCCTGACTCAACAAGGGTCTCAGTAGCTAAGGAACTAAGCTACCCCGCTCTAACTAAGTAACCCTCCCCCCCTCTCCCTCCCCCGTCTAGCACTCTGCCAAGCAGGCGGACACGAAGGGGCATGCTGCTGCTGAGGCCAGCTCTCTGTTGACCTCTTTCTGGATTCTTCCAGAGCCTCCTGCTGCCTGTTTGGCCTACCTCCAACCCCTCATTACCCATTTCCCATAAATCTCCAGGGCATATAACTTCCTCCTCCCTAGCCCCCTCTCCTCCTAGAATCCTCAACTCCTCCAGCTTCCCCACTATTCTAAAGGTTTCTCTAACTCCGTCCCCTCCTCTTCTGCCCACCACATCCCCACCCCACAGGGCCCCCGGTCAGCGACGGCCAGCGGCGTGGGTCCGCTGGTGGCGGATGAGGTCGGAGCTCTGTGAGAAGGCCTTTCCACAGTCATCGCACTTGTAGGGCCGCTCCCCGCTGTGGACGCGGTGGTGCTGCAGCAGCGTGGAGGAGCGGCAGAAGCCCTTGCCGCACACCGCACACCGGTAGGGCCGCTCGCCGGTGTGAGAGCGCTGGTGCTGAATCAGCGTGGAGGAGCGGTTGAAGGTCTTCCCGCAATCGGGGCAGCTGTAGGTGCGGCCGGGCAGGTGGGTGCGGGCGTGGATGGCCAGCACGGAGCTCTGGCCGAAGCGCTTGCCGCACTCGGGGCACTTGAAAGGCTTCTCTCGGGCGTGGCTGCGGGCGTGGGGGATAAGTGCCGAGCGCTGGGAGAAGCTCTTGCCGCAGATGCCGCAGCTGAAGGGCCTTTGCCCGGTGTGCACCCTCTGGTGACTGCGCAGGGAGGAGTTCTGGCTGTAGCACTTGCCACACTCGGGGCAGCTGTAGGGCCGCTCGTGGCTGTGCGTGCGCTGGTGCCGCAGGAGGTAGGAGCTGTCTCCGAAGGCCTTGCCGCAGTGAGGGCACTTGTAGGGCTTCTGACCAGAGTGAGTGCGCTGGTGGCGAAGCAGGTAAGAGCTGTCGGCGAAGGCCTTGCCACAGCGGGGACACTTGTAGGGCCGCTCCCCCGTGTGGGTGCGCTGGTGTTTGATGAGGTCGGAGCTCTGAGAGAAGGCCTTGCTGCAGACCTCACATTTATAGGGCTTTTCACCCGTGTGGATTCGCTGGTGCTGGATCAGGGTGGAGCCCCGGCCGAAGCTCTTCCCACAGATGCCACAGATGTTGGGCCGAGGGCCCTGTCCACCCCTGGCCCGGCCACCCCGCCGGCCCGAACCCCGCAGGCTTCCTGTCAGGCCCAGAGGATTCTGGAGCATCTCAAACTGGGGTGTAGTCAGCAGGGCCCCTGTGGGCATCTCAAAAGGTGGCCCCAGGGGAAGGCCTGCTGCGGGCTGCTCCCCAAACCCCTGTGTGAAGGAGTCCAAGGGATGGTCTCCCAGGGGGACGCTCAAGGGATCCTTCTCCTCGGGATTGAGAAGCATCTCTGCACCTTCCTGGAATTTGGAAGTTTGAGCTTCAAATTCCGAGCTTTGGGTTTTGAACTCGGGGCTCCGGGACTCATACCCAGGGCTCCGAGGTTCACACCCAGGGCTTTGGGGCTCATACCCAGTAGGGCTTTGTGGTTCAAACTCAGGGCTCTCAGAATCTGAATCAGGGGTTCTGGGTGCAAATTCGGGGCTTGGGGGCACAAAGCCAGGGCTTGGGGACTCAAAACCGGGACTTTCAGGCTCAAACCTGGGGCTCTGGGGTTCAAACTCTGGGCTTTGTGACTCAAACCCAGGGCTCTGGGGTTCAAGCCCAAAAGGTATCTCTTCGACCTCATAGTCCCCAGTGCTTTCTTGCTGAGAAATTTCCTCTTCCTCATTCTCACGCATGTTGCCTGCAGGATCAGAGAATTACAGAAAACCCAGATTGTGTGGCGCCTGGAAGGTCGCTGGGTCCCACCATTAATTAGCTGCACAAACGTCTCCCTGCTCCTCAAACATGGTCGCTGGCCCCTGTGCAGGTGCTGAAATTCCCACCTTCCCCACGGCACACCCAGGACACCCAGTCCCCGCCCCCACCTCCTCCAAGTCCCAGGGGTCCAAATCCCCCTTCCCTTCCCACCCACGGACTACAGCCTCCTCCCCCCTCCCAGGCACGCTCCTTGGAGGGGCGCTTCCTCCCTCACCTTTGAGGAACCCTTCGGGCCCCACTTCGTCAGGACTTTGCACATCCCGGGGTTCGAGGCCCCACGGCGACGCCTCCCGTTCCATCCCCGCTGGCTCCCAGCGCGGCGGCGGCGGCGGCGGCGATGGCGGAGCGATCCTACGACCCGGCCTGAGTGCCCCGAGACCCAGGCCCTCGCCGCCCGCCCCCTCAGCGACGCCCAGGGGATCCGGCGGCCCAGCCCCAGCCCCCAAGGCCGGACGTCTTGACCCTGGGCCTCTCTGGCCGGCCGGCCGGGCCCCTCCCCTGCCCTCCCCGGAGCCCCGCCTCCACCCACAAGGTCTCCGCTGGCTTTGGGCCCTCACAGGCCCCCACGCGCGGTGTCCTCGGAGGCGGGGGGCACTTCACGACTAGCCCTGCTGCCCCCAGGCCCGGCTGCCCGCGCGAGACCCCGCCGTCTGGCCCCCAGCCCCAGGCCGGGCTGCGGCAGCGACCCCTCCCCCCGCACAGGAAGTGTCCGTCCGCGGCCAGTTCCCCCGGTGGCTCGCGCCGCGGCCTCTCTAGGAGCGGCTGGAGGCGGAAACTCGTTGGCATTAACCCTGGGCTGGATGGCCCCGCAGCTGAGGTGGGCGAGGACGAAGCGCCCTGGAGCCGGCGGGAGGGCCTGGGGCAGTTTGTGTGCCTGTGTCCCAGGTCTCCGTCCGCCCGGGGGTCTGTCCTCCACTGGGCTCTGCACCCGTCAGTGACTGCGGCCAAGGGCGAGGTGACAAGCGAGACCAAGGTCAGGGGAAGGAGCGACGCTGCCCGGCGCCAGCGGGGGCGGCGTCTAGCTCCCCTCGCTCTTGGGCCTCGGGGTCAGCTCCGGCCGCGCCTCGGAAACCTGGACGGGCCCCCGCCTCTCCTTGAACTCATGGGAACTCCGGGACACCCCCACACTCCCGCTAGAATTCCACTGCCGGCGGGCCTACCCGCACTGCTCCTCATTTCCACCCTCCCCACCCGGTCCCGCTGGGCTAGGATCGTTGCCAAGGAAACAGCTCCGCCTCGGGTTCCCAGAGGCACCGCCCCTACCGCTTAGAGCGCTCAGCGATTGGCCAGCAAAGCTCGCGCTCTCCCCGCCCAGCCTCCTCCCACTACACCGTCTGCTCGGCGCTATTGGTCCCAGGGAACGCGAGGCTCCTTTCTGATTGGCTGGAAGGTGCGCAGGCCGGCCCACCTCCCACGTCTGACCGAAGTGCCTGCGGGAAGAGTGGGCGGGCCCTGCCTGGCGTCTCCCCTGGAGCTGGGCCTCTGCTTTCAGAACTTTACTCGCCCCCGTTTTCCCTTGATGTTTTATCTTTCTGAAGAATGGGAGGCTGGAGAAGTGAGGACAGACACCCTTCCTCCCCGGGTCTCCACACACTCCGCCAGCATTTCCCCGAAGGAGCCAGTTGGGAGATCCGCCCTCCGCGAGAGGGCTGCTTTCTTTTCAATCACCCTGCCCCTCCCCTCCTTCCCCGAAGCCCGAGTTTAACTCCGTCCTTGGGAGCCTTACTCCCTGGTTCCTGGGTTCTTGGGTGAGAAAACTCCGTGGTTTTCTCACACGGAGGCAAGGATCGTGTGGGGATTTGTTTCCGGTGAGGGTGGAAAGTGATAAAGTTCGCAGTGGAAGTGGACAGAGAGAACCATCTGGCCGTTAAGTTGGCTATGAACTTTCCAGTCCCTTCTTGGAGGGAGGCTCGTAAAGAAAGCAAACCTGAGAAACCCTGCCCTAGGTGCAGCTTTGAATCAAGGAGGAGAAAAATGACGGTAGAAAACAACTTAACAGGATCCAATTCTTGTTCCTTGCTGCTGAAAACCAGTTTGGTAGCCTTCCTGGTAGCTGAAAAGCCACGTTCTCTCTCTGTGAGTGGTGCAGGAGCCATGGTGTGTTTTCCTGCCTTTCCCAAATAAATGAAGGGAAGAAACTGAGGAGGAAGATGGCATCTTCCATTATCCTAAAAAGAGGTGAGAACAGAATTTGGAGAATTCCAAGTGGTAAAAGGCTGGAGAGAATTATCTCACTAGAGGCCTACAAACAGAACCACTGGTACCTTCCTACAAATCCAGCGGCATACTTTTCTGCGCTCCAGAGAAACAGCCTCCAGCTCCATGCCTCTTTCCATCCCAGTGTCTGTCTGCCCAAAAACCTGTTAGGATGAACACCTACAAGTACACTGATTGGGAAGGGCACTCACACCATGAGAGACAAGTCTCCTTCATGAGACTTTCTGATCTGCTTACCCACCAGAAAACTTACACAGGAGAGCAGCCGCTCTGCTAAGTGAGGAGCAAAGATTCCAGCCTCAGGCCTGACAAGATCCACTGCCTGTACTCTTCATAGCGTGGGCTAAAGCCCACATGCAGCAGAAGTCAGTCCAGGGCTTCAAGCCGCCCAGGCACCATCACTTCCACGTGGAAGCTCAGTCTCACTAGTGCCTAGAAGAGTGGCCGGCTGGCTTCCGGGCAGCCTCCTCTAGCACCAGACCTATCTGTGCAATAGGCTTTCAAGTGACAGCCAGACCCGCCCCCTCTTCTACCCCCACCCCTCACCCCCAGCCCCATCTGCTACCCAAAGCAGCGAAAGGCTCCGAGCACAAGAAAGCCTTTGATGACGGTTCCGACTTGTCCCAACTAGGGTGCTAATCCAGAGTAGGAGTCCCCTGGCTTTGTTCTCCCACTGTGTGTGTCCCAAGGTGAGCAGCCACTTTCTCCACATCATCATCCCCTAGTGTGCTCCTTCCCTCTCTTTAAAATCAATAAATTCAGAAGAATTACACAGGAAGAGACCGGCCACAGCACAGACCCCTTTGGCAAGAACAAAGGAAATGGTCTTGTGTCTAGCTAGGTCATCCCCTGACCTAAGATTTGACACGGGCCCCGAGACCAACCCTCCTCTTACAAAAGCTAAGAGCAGCTAGAAAATAACATTTCGTTCAGAGACTGGTTCTCCAAGTTTAGCAGGCATAGAAGTCCATCCCTGGAGTAATACTTTAAACAATAAAGAACTTTTTTTAAAAGCCAAATTGAAAATATAAAAAGCATTTTTAGAAAAAATATAAATTAAGTCGTATTATGGTAAATTTTATTAAGTTAAAAAATCTAGTAGATGTGCGGTACTCTAAGCTCCAATCAGTCCTAAATTAGATACTTCTATTTTCATTTCCCTATGGATAAAGTACTTTACCAAATACTTCTAAGGCTAAATAAAAACTGTAAATGGAGATTTTAAGCTCTTTGGAATACTGACACTAATGCTAATTTAAGTGGGTCTGGACCTCATTCAAAAACAAAAATTCCATCCCTGGAGACTCAGATTCCATAGCTGGGCACAGGGCCTGAGGAAGCTAGCTACATTTTGTTGTTAATCTTCACCAGAGTCTATTTCTCCATTGATTTTTTTTTTTTTTTTTTTACCATCATACAAAAAAGGATTTTATTTTGGGAAAGCGATTCCTAATGTATGGCAAGTTTTACTTTCAGAAATAAGACCACAAACAACACAATCTAAAGGCTGACATGCTGAGTAAGGAATGTTCTTATTCTTTGTAGCTCCTTCTTTACTGTCAGGTACCAGGGCTCTACCTGTTGGTGTGATTTCAGCCACCAAGTCATCCACAGTACTGTGTTCTGGTCCTTTTTCTTCACAGTGTGCCTTCAGTTGATCCTTCCACCACATTCAATTAATTTAGCTCTCAGCAACTCTGATGTTCTCCTTCAGTTCCTATCAGCTTTTGTTTTAATCACTGCTCTCATCTGCACATCTTTGTTCATTTTGCTAACCACTCTTCGGCTGCCCGGACTTAGACCCTCAGTAGCCCGGGCACCTAAGCACACAGAAAACTTGAACACGCATTTCCTTCTCCATTGATTTTTAGAGTGGAAAGCAGGGGAGAGGCAGAGAGAAACCTCAATGTGAGAGACACACATCGATTGGTTGCCTCCCACGCGCCCAAACCAGGGCCGGGGGTGGAGGTACATGCTCCTGACCAGAATTGAACCTGGGACCCTTCAATCCATGGTCCACTCAGCCAAACCAACTAGGGTGCTAGCTATGTTTTAAAGAAACTATGAGAGTCTTCGGCAGGAAGGCCTTACTTTGAAAAATATTGGCCTAATGCAGGCTTTAGCTTCTTTGGGTCACAGCTCTGCACATCCTGTTTCTAAAAAGATGCATGTAAACATTCCTAAAAAGTTTAGGGTCTTTGGAACTCAAATCAATACCCTTATTTTAGACATGTGGTCATGGCCTCACCTCTCACAATGGGGACTGGATGGGCTCATATCTGGTACAGACAAGCATTTCTCCAGTGAAGCCCTAGAAACTCTTTCGGCTTCAATTGTTTTGAGTTTTGAGCCTCAGACACCTGCAGTAGCAGAAAAGAGTCCTACCCTTGATGGAAGTATCCTGCCAAACAATGAGAAGTTAAGAATGGAATAAGGCTGAAACCGGTTTGGCTCAGTTGTGGAGCGTTGGTCTTCGGACTGAAAGGTCCCAGGTTCAATTCCGGTCAGGGGCATGTATGTTGGTTGTGGGCACATCCCCGGTGGGGGGTGTGCAAGAGGCAGCTGGTCGATGTTTCTTTCTCATCGACGTTTCTAGCTCTCTATCTCTCTCCCTTCCTCTCTGTGGAAAATCAATAAAATATATATATTTTTAAAAAGAATGGAATGGAATGAGGCCACGGCTTAAGTATTTCATGACACTCAAAAATTATCTTTTAATGGTGATAAGTTGGGTCTTGAAGGCAGGAAGCAGAAGAGCTTGGTCTGGCATTTGGGCCTTAAGCAAGCTTGCAAACTTCAAAGCACTCAAAGAAAGTAGTAATTATGACACCTTAATTGGCAAGCTGAGTGAGAATGGGTTTCAGGCTGGGTTTTCCCCAGGCAGCCTGAGTTAGGAGATGTACACTGCCTTCTCTAGGGAATTAAAAGCTGGTACAGCCGAAACCGGTTTGGCTCACTGGTAGAGCGTTGGTCTGCGGGCTGAAAGGTCCCAGGTTCGATTCCAGTCAAGGGCATGTACACTGGTTGCGGGCACATCCCCGGTAGGGGGTGTGCAAGAGGCAGCTGGTCGATGTTTCTCTCTCATCGACGTTTCTAATTCTCTCCTCCTCTCCCTTCCTCTCTGTAAAAAATTAAAAAAAATAAAAAAAAAAAAAAAAAAAGCTGGTACAAAGGTAGCTGCTACCACTAAGGTGCCTTCTCACACCATGTCCCATTAGGACAAGGTGGCACACTAGCTAATCCTCCCAGAAAGGTTCAGGTGGGCTCAGACTTGGAATCAAGTCAGTTCATTACTTCACCTGAACAGTGTCTTTTCCCCAAATGTTCTCTTTCTTTAGAAGTTTCTCCAGATTGACAGATCTTCCTTCCTAAGGTAAGCAGACATGGGATTGAGTAAAGGCAAGTACACATGGGCCAGCAGAGGACATAACCTCTATTCCTCCTCAAGTGAAGGGTTGTCCTGACCAGAGGCAGGACAGGGTCTGCCCATGGCTGGCTGCTTCCATTGCCTGGACAGGGCTGGGCTCTGACCACAAAAGAATTGGCAACTGCCCCTATAGACCATGGTTTGCAAACTCCAATTTCCAAAGGCCCAACAGGTCATGTAAAGGGGTGGAAAACACCAGATGGAGCGAGCCTGCCTGGAAAGGACATGGGCAAGCCATGAGTGCCAGCTGATGCTGGTCGGGAGCTGAAGAGGGTGGTGAGCATGCTGAAGTGGAGCACAGGCTCCGGCTCCATCAAAAGGGAATGGCGCCGGGACCGGTTTGGCTCAATGGATAGAGCGTCGGCTTGGGGACTGAAGGGTCCCCGGTTCGATTCCGGTCAAGGGCATGTACCTTGGTTGCGGGCATATCCCCAGTAGGGGGTGTGCAAGAGGCAGCTGATCGACGACTCTCTCTCATCGATGTTTCTAACTATCTCTCTCCCTTCCTCTCTGTATAAAAATCAATAAAATATATTTAAAAAAAAAAAAAAAAAAAAAAAAAAAAAAAGGGAATGGCTGTCCCAGCTCCTGCCAGCTGTGGTTTTGTGGAAGCTTAGGTAGAGTTGCCAAATCTTTGGATTTCTCAAGAGAAATCAGAAACCTGGATTCTGTGTGAATCTTAACCAATAATTTGTAATATTTTAAAATTCTGACTAGGCCAGGAAACCAAAATGGCAGCATAAGTAAACACTTATTCTGCTGCCTCGTACAACAATTTCAAAACTGCAACTGGAAGACAGAGCGGACATTGTCCAGAACAACCGGAAAGCTGGCTGAGTGGAAATTCTACAACTAGAAGGAAAGAGAAAAGAACACTGAGACTCAGAGGAGCTGTGGAGGTGCAGAGACCTGTGTGCGAGGAAAGGGCGGGCAGCTGAATACACAGTTGGCTTACTCACTGTGCGCAGAGAGGGTGGGCAGCAAATGCATGGCTAGCTTTCTCGTTTGGGAGGGAAACAAAACCTCCCGACTGCACTGAAATCCAGCTCCAAGTGAGACTTTGGGTACCAGACTCATTCGGGAAGAAACTGGACTGTCTGAAAGCGGGCGAAACTCGAGAGCAGCCTTCTCTCAGAGGTGCGTGCAGCCACTGCTGTGGGACACTGAGACATAGGGACCTCTTAGGGAGGGGCTGACAGGAAACCAAGGCTGTCAGCTCCACACTGAGACTCCGCTCCATCCAAGCTGAGCACAGAAGCTCTCCCAGCGGAGACACTGCTGATCCTCAGCCAATTGGCCTAGAGGTCAACTCCCCACCATAATACCAACAACAATCAAGGTTTAACTACAAGATTGCACACACAGCCCACAAAGGGGTGCACCAAGAGTGTCCACCTTAGGTAACTGGGGAGGCTGAGCCACTGGGCCCTGCTAGGACACCTAGCACACAAAGCTACTCCATCAACTCAGGGAAGCAGCTAAAATGCAGAGACAAAGAGGTAGGCCACAAATGAAGGAAATGGAGGAAAGTAAAAGACTGGCTATAGAGTTCAAAACCACAGTTTTAAGGTTTTTCAAGAATTTCCTAGAAAAGGCCGATAAATTTAACGAGACCCTCGAGGATATGAAAAAGGATCAATTAGAAATTAAGCATACATTGACTGAAATAAATAATATTATACAGGGACCTAAAAGCAGACTAGATGATTGCAAGAATCAAGTCAAAGATTTGGAATACAAAGAAGCAAAAAACACTCCACTGGAAAAGCAAAAAGAAAAAAGAATCCAGAAAGTTGAAGATAGTGTAAGAAGCCTCTGGGACAACTTCAAGCATACCAACATCAGAATTATGTGGATCCCAGAAGAAGAGAGAGAGAAAGATATTGAAAACCTATTTGAAGAAACAGTGACAGAAAACTTCTCCCACCTTGTGAAAGAAATAGACTTACAAGTCCAGGAAGCCCAAAGAAGCCCAAACAAAAGGAATCCAAAGGGGACCACACCAAGTCACATCATAATTAAAATGCCAAGAGCAAAAGACAAAGAAAGAATATTAAAAGCAGCAAGAGAAAAACAGTTAGTTACCTACATGGGAGCACCCATACGATTGTCAGCTGATTTCTCAACAGAAACTATGCTGTCCAGACAGGAATGGCAAGAAATATTCAAAGTGATGAATAGCAAGAAACTACAATCAAGATTACTCTACCCAGCAAAGCTATCATTCAGAATTGAAGGTCAGATAAAGAGCTTCACAGATAAGAAAAAGCTAAAGGAGTTCATCACCACCAAACCAGAATTATACGAAATGCTGAAAGGTATTCTTTAAGAAGAGGAAGAAGAAAAAGGTAAAGATAAAAATTATGAACAACAGCCCTAGCTGGTTTGGCTCAGTGGATAGAGCACTAGCCGGTGGACTTAAGGGTCCCAGGTACAATTCCGGTCAAGGGCACATACCTTGGTTTGCAGGCACATCCCCAGTGGGGGCTGTGCAGGAGGTAGCTGATGGATGTTTTTCTCTTATTGATGTTTCTAACTCTCTATCCCTCTCCCTTCCTCTCTGTAAAAAAATCAATATATTTTTAAAAATTATGAACAAGTGAATCTAAAAACCAAGGGGGGGGGGATCTGATGAACAATATTAACTGGTGAATATAATAGAATCAGGGGTATAGAAAGGGAGTGGACTGACAATTCTTGGGGAAAAGGGGTGTATGGGGTGCGGGAAGACTGAACAAAAAGTGTACACCTATGAATGAGGACAGTGGGGGGGGGGGGCGTTAAGAGCAGAAGGTGGGGTAGGAACCTTGTGGAGGGGAGCTATGGGGGGAAAAAAGAGGAACAATTATAATAATCTGAACAATAAATATTTATTAAATTAAAAAAAATAAAAACTGGCTATTAAAAAAATAAAGATAAAAAAATAAAATTCTGACTAGGCCAAAAAATAAGAGTTGCAGGCCAGATTCAGTGCAGTGAATGAGACCTCTTGGTTGGGTCTAGGGTGGATGTGCCTACCACCATGATGCAGTAAAAAGGCAAACAGGTAAAACAATGTTCTCTTCCATCTCATCCTTTTAACACATCTGAGAAACGGCCTTTTCTTCCCACAGTCTAGGTCGGTGGGGTGGGGAGGGTCTTACCTCAGTCCGAACTCAGCAAAGGGGCTTCTAGAGTCCAGGCCAGCAGAGACTGAGGTGGCCCCCTGTCAAGCTGGAGAGGGTCTAATATGATGGATGGCCCTTGTTCTCCAGGTCCAGCTCTTACAAGGCATTCTATGACCTTCCTGGAGCCCCAGAGGTTCAGTACCCATTCCAGCTTGGGCCTCAGGAAATGTTTAGATCTTCCCCCTTTGTCTTCTCACTTTTGAGGCCATCACCCACACTCCTGGAATATCTCTGGGTAGTGCTGGAAGCTCACAGGTGGGTCTAGGTCCCCGGGGCCAGGGGCCGGGGGCACAGGCAACCCACCAGCACCCTGGCCCTTGTGTCTCCTGGCACCAGGCCTATGGACCCACTGGTGCTTGGCCATGGCCGACTTCTGGCCAAAGCACCTGCCGCACTGAGGACAGGGGTAGGGGCGCTCCCCGCTGTGGGTTCGCCGGTGGGCTGCCATTTCCGAGCTCTGCCTGAAGCAGCGCCCACAGTCCGGGCATGGGTAGGGCTTCTCGCCCGTGTGGGTGCGCATGTGGCGCCGAAGGTCTGAGGCGTGGGCAAAAGCACGGCCACAGTCCGGGCAAGGGAAGGGGGTCTCGCCACTGTGGATCCGCTGGTGCTGGTAGAGGGCAGAGCTCTGGCTGAAGCAGTGGCCGCAGTCGGCACAGCGATAGGGCTTCTCGCCCGTGTGCACCCGTAGGTGGGTGGTGAGGGCAGAGCGCTGGGTGAAGGCCCGGCCACAGTCCGGGCAGCGGTGAGGCCGCTCCCCGCGGTGGATGGCGAGGTGCTTTCTCAGGGAGGAGGACTGGCCAAAGCTTTTGCCACAGTCAGGGCAAGAGAAGGGCTTCTCGCCCGTGTGGGTGTACAGGTGCTCCACCAGAGTGGAGTGCCAGGCAAAGCTCTTCCCACAGAGGTAGCAACCGTGACGATGGTCTGCCCGTGGGACAGGGGGGTGGGCAAAGAGTGGGGGGCGACCCCGCTGAGGCACCTTGGAGAGCTGCTCCAAACTGTAAGGGAGACCCGCAGGAGGGGGTTGGAGAGCCTTCAGCCCGAGAGACTGAGCATCCACAGGAAGGATCTTCTCCAGGGCCCCGGTGCCTTCCGGTAGTCCTTTCTCTTCCTTGTTTCTGGAATCTGCTGGGAGATAAGGGGAGAGCTCAGAGCTGGCTTATTTATCCTGCTCCTTGAATCCCACACCCCATGTGATGAGAGGCCTGCCACACAGCCACCGGGACCCACAGCTGCCTCGGGGACTCAGCTCAGGACAGGCAGGGAAACGACACACCTTTCCTCAGCTGCCGAGGACAAAGCAAAGCATCAGAAGCGGAGGAGGCAGCACAGTACATTCTACCTTGGGGCCAGGAAATGGCTAGGGGCAGGCAGCAGGGGTGTTAACTGGATCCTGGGGAATAAGATGCTCTGGGATGCTCCGGGCAGCCGGCACCACACAGACGTGAGCTGGGCTGAGCCAGGCTCAGAGGCGCGGGGTACACGGAGCAACAAGCTGCAGGCCCAATCACTAGCGAACAGCACAGGCCAAGGGAAGGAAGCTGCTCCAAAATATAACAGACATGAAAGTAAACTAAATAAAGCACAGGGCGGAGGAGCTAGATGGAGGCAAATTGGGGGGATGTGGTGGGGCAAGACAGAGCTTCAGGCCAACGGGATGTGAGGGGCTCCGCGTCACACGGGAGTGGAGAGCCTGACAGCTCCCAGCAGAGCCGGTCACACCGCCCTTCCTCCGCCTTCGCCGGGAAAGCGCTTCAGGGAGGGACGGAGGAGCGGGTCAGGGGGCGGGCGAGGCGGCGTCCCCAGTACTCACCCGCGTCCCCCTCGGTCAGACCCGCTCCCAGCTCCGGATCTCGGGCCTCCGGCCCCCACAGCTCAGCCTCCGCCTCCACCCAGGCCATGAGCGCCGGCTTGGTGCCGCGGAACCCTGGGGAGAGGAACGCACACCGCGCTGCCCGGAGGCCGCCGCCCAACCGCCCCGGCCCGGGATCCCCCTCCCCGTGTGCGGACCCCACTCCCCGTGCGGGACCCCCTCCCCGTATGGGCCCCCCTCCCCGTGCGGGACCCCCTCCTCGTGCGCGGACACCCTCCTCGTATGGGCCCCCCCTCCTCGTGCGGGAACCCCCTCCCCGTGCGGGTCCGGGCCTCACCCAGCGCGCCCAGGTGGCCGTAGGTCTCCCGCATCACGTCCCGGTACAGGGCCCTCTGCGCGGGCCGCAGGCTCCGCCACTCCTCCGGGGAGAAGTACACGGCCACGTCCGCGAAGCTCACGGGCTGCGGGCTTCCCCCCGCGCGCGCCGCCGCCCCGGGGTCCCGCGCGGGGAGCGAGGCCGGAGGCGGCGCCATGGGGAGGCCGGGCCCCGGGCCCCCGCTCCGTCCGCGGCCCGCTCCCCGCCGCCGCCCCGGCGGCCTGCGGGCCCCGCGGCGGGGAAGGTGCGGAGAACAGGCGGCTTCCTAAGCAATGGCGGCCCCGCGGCCTCGGGAACTTGGCTCCGACGTGGTTTGGCCCAGAGGACGCCTCGCCGGGGTCTCGGAGGCGGGGAGGGGGCTTAGCCGCCGGCCCTCAACCAAGATGGCCGCAGCGGCTTCCCGGCGGAGCGGCGCCCGCCGCGCCCGGGCCAACCCGCCCCGTCCCCGCGGGCAGGGGTTCCAGCCCTGGCCCGGCCCCTCCGCTGCGGAAGCTCGGCCTCATGCTTCGGGCTGGGCCGCTGGTAACGGCTTTGGCCCTCACGGTGCCGGCACCTGTCCGCAAATGCTGAGGGGAAGCTGTGAGGAGAGACCGCCTCTGCTGGACGCCTGTTGGGCTGACACTCCGGGACCGTTACCAGGAGATGGGGGGCAGCGGGGAGAGCAGGGACGAGACTGAAGAGAGGTCAGAGGCCCCTTTCTGCAGCTTTCCTCCCCACTGTGCTGCCGGCGCCTCCCCACTGGTTCCTCTGGCTCAGACGGGCTCCCCAGCCAGCCTGCCACCTGTCTCTGTACAGCAGACGTGGCTCAAGTTGAACGCACCCCTTTCTTCCTCCAGCTGCCCCTCCTGGGGTCTTTTTCTCAGCAAATGCACCGACTCTCCCCATCATTTCAGCGATTGCCCGCCTACTTCGTGCCCCCAAACACTTTCATAAACACCTGCCCTAAGAAGACTTGATGCTTTTCCTTTGGCAGACAAATCAATCACAGTATTTCCCACATCCATGGAAATGCACGCCCCGTCTTCAGCAGGTTTGGCTTTTTCTGCTTGCCTCCGTCTGTAGTGGGTACCAGACAGGTATCAGTAGGAACCGGAGGCCCGGGGCACAGGGTCATGAGGAGGAGAAACCGGCAAAACTGCAAGCCCTTGCAGGACCACTCCCTTCAGCATTAACCCTGGGCATGGCATCAAGGCCTCAGCTGTGCCCAGCGGAGCAGCAAAATCAGTGACTGCCATTGTTGGCTTCTGGACCAGCTGTCTTGACTAATGACCCTGGAGCCAACCAATCAGTAGAGACTACCACTCTGAGGGACACATCAGGAAAGCTGATGAATGTTCTATTGGATCCTCCCCTGGAACCCCGAAATAAAAGGATAAAAGCTCTTAAGACAGGGACCTAGAATGTGCTCTCTCTCTTTTAAAAAAATATATTTTATTGATTTTTTGCAGAGAGATAGAGAGTTAGAAACATCAATGGGAGAGAAACATCGATCAGCTGCCTCCTGCACCCTCCCCCCCCCCCCCCCCCCCCCTTCTGGGGATGTGCCCACAACCTTGACTGTAATCGAATCTGGGACCTTTCTGGATTCAAATCTGGGACCTTTCAGTCCTCAGGCTGACGCTCTGTCCACTGAGCCAAACCCGTTAGGGCAGTGTGCTCTCTCTTTTCCAGGGCCTGCTCAAGCCTTTCCTCTCTCTCCCATCTCTCAAGGCAAGTCTCAGTCTCTCTCACTCCCTCCCTCCCAAGCTCCAGGGGCCCTTCTTTTGGTTCTGTAGCTCGTTTCCTGAGCCCATTTCTTCTATGGCTCACTTCTTCTACCTCTGACTTTCTAAATAAACATTCTCTTTTTTTAAAAAAAATTTTTTTAATTAATTTCAGAGAGGAAGGCAGAGGGAGAGGTAGAGATAGAAACATCAATGATGAGAATCATTGATTGGCTGTCTCCTGCATGCCCCACACTGGGGATTGAGCCCACAACCCGGGCATGTGCCCTTGACCAAGGATGGAATCAGGACCTTGTGGTTCATAGGTCAACGCTCGACCACTAAGCTACACTGGCTGTGCTAAACTTTCTTTTGAAGTTTGAGTCTTAGCTCTTAATTCTTAGCCAGAACTCATGTACTGAGGTTGCTGAACTGAAGTCTATCTCCTGGCACTGTTTCGCTGCCAACATTTCCAAAGGCCTTCCTGAGGCTTCTGCCTGACACGGTGTATCTGGTGGATGCTTCTCCCCACCATCAGGAGAGCTTGAAGGGAAAGGCTTGATTATGGCAGAAAGGGGAAAGGAGGAGACAACAAGCCTGGAAAGGGGAAGGGCTCATAGTTGCCCAGGACTCAGCCTCAGCCCTCGGCCTCTCGGGATCCGAAAACAGAATGTTTCCATTAAGAGCAACAGCATTTTGTCACCTGTCAGTGTCCACCCCTTGCCATGGTGCCCATGACACACAGGCCTGGAACAGCTCTGGGTAGTCCTAGCCACTGGGTAGTCCTAGCCACTCACTGTCTGGGTCTCCCTGGGAACAAGCTAGGGCAGGGCTTGAACCCTTGGTTTGGCCCCTGGGCCGATGGCACCAGGCTGGCAGGCCTCTTGCTGAAGAGGTACCTCCTATAGTGGGACAGGAGTAGGGCCACCTGCCTGTGTGAATCAACAGGTAGAGGAGAGGTACTACCTGAGGCAAAGGCAGGTGCCATGCTAGCTGCAAAGGGTCTGTGGGAGCACCAGCTCCTTGATCCTGCTTGACTACATCAAGCTTCTCTGGGCAAGGTATTACACGGAGACATGAGAAGGCGTGGGCACATGGGAGAGACTTTATTGTAGACCAAGTAGCATTGCTCCTACAGGAGCCATCAAGGTAGTTCTTCAGAGTAGCCACACAAAGCGGTCCCGCCCCCCTGGTTGGTCAGTGGCAACTTATACACATGCTCAAACAGAAAAGGCCTCATGCCACTAGTGACACAGATGCTACATTAACATAACCAGTTACACCTTCCCTGCACGCATGCATATGGCAAATGGGCCTTGATCATCTGGCATATTCTGGTTAGGGTTCCCACAGGGTCCCTCTCCAGAGAGTGCTGTGGACCAGGCTAAAGATGATGGCCAAGCATGACTGCATTCGGGGCAGGGAGGGGAGCACTGCGTTAGTGCCGGAGGCTGAGGCTGGGCACAGATGAGAGGAGAGGCTCAGAGGCAGCTCAGTGTCTCTGGTCCCAGGGGGCTCATGACAACTCCTGAATAGACTCCTTCTCTTTGCCCCCCCCCCTATTTTTTTTTTAATTGGAATCTTTCAGCATATTTTTGAGAGTTAGAAACATCGATGAGAGAGAATCATGATCAGCTGCCTCTTGCACACTGCTTGCCCTTTCTAAATGTATTGTTTTCCTGAGTGGCTGCTGTGAAACAGCAGATTCAAAACTTGCCCTGTTGCTGAAACCGGTTTGGCTCAGTGGATAGAGGGTCGGCCTGCAGACAGAAGGGTCCCGGGTTCGATTCCAGTCAGGGGTATGTACCTTGGTTGTGGGCACGTCCCTAGTGGGAGACGTGCAGGAGGCAGCTGATCGATGACTCTCTCATTGATGTTTCTAACTCTCTCTCTCCCTTCCTCTCTGTAAAAGATCAATAAAATATATATTAAAAAAAAAAAAAACTCAAGGTGTAAAGCACACAGGATAAGTCATCTGCATGAATGTCTTTGCTTCCAATGCATCATCACAAACTTGTTAAAAAAAAAACAACAACAAAAACTCTCCCTGTTAATTGTGCGAGGTCTACTCACATGCAAGTGCCAGAACCAAGCTTCCCAGTGGCAGAAGCCTTCAGCTGGGGGCCTCACCCCTGAAAGCTCTCCCTAAACTGTGATGGCTAACTGCAGGGCTCATGAGTCAGGGACAGTCCCACCCACCTCAGGATCAACCAAAGTGGACACCCTCAACTACAGGGCCCAGGGACCTGGAGACAGAAAGCTGAGCTGCCTCCAGCTTCAACTTGAATTCACACACTGCCGCTGAGCTGGAGACTGCGATTCATTCATTGTGACCTGATCATGGGACCACAGGACGTCTCAGTCAACTGAGAAAGAGAAGGTTTAGGTTTCAGTCTTGACCTGGCCAGTTTTGCTCAGTGGATAGAGCATTGGCCCTTGGGCTGAAAGGTCTCAGCCCAAGGGTTTGATTCTGGTCAAGGGCATTTACCTTGGTTGCAGGCTTGATCCCTGGCACTCAGGGCACATTTGGGAGGCAACCAATCAATGTGTCTCTCTTATATTGATGTTTCTCTCTGTCTCTCTCCCCCCTTCATTCCACTCTCTCTAAAAATCAATGAAAAATATCCTCAGGTGAGGATTAGTAAAATAAAAAAATAAATAAATAAAGATTTCAATCTCCAATAGGTGTCATAAATTCAGGTCAAGAAAAATTAGTAAGGAACATGTAGATGATGTTTCTTGCTCAATAAAACATTTTCCTTTTAGCTGGAACTGGAACATTGCCCCCACTTCTCACCTCTCCATCTTTCTCAGACTTCCTCCCTCCTCCCCAGGAGCATCTGCACCCCACCGGCTCTCCTGCTTTCTCCAGGAGGGCTGGTTTGGGGTCTGGGAATCCAGGGGAAGAAACTAAACCACTAAAAAACAAAAACAAAAAACAATACATTTCTTAATACTACCTATGCATTCCTCAGGCATCAAGATATTCTAGGTGTTGGAGGTATTGGTGAACCAGGATAACTTCCTGCTCTAAATTCACACTAAATAAATTTACACTAAGGTGTGAGCTCTGCAGACTGTGCTCAGATCTACACAGACACAGAGCCGCGGTTCTGAGCTTTTCTGCATGGGGCAGAAGAGGAATTTCTTGAAGACAGCATTGAGAAGGGCACTTGCTGTTCTGCACTGTATACACTGAAGGAGGTGTATACAGTGCAGAACAGCAAGAGCACAGGCTCACTAGCTGGAGGCGTGTACAAAAGCCAAAGATCCCATTTACCTGGAGCCAAATGGGATGGCTTGGCTGTAGGGAGAGCGAGCTCTGGTTTGAACTGGAGGTTGGCGTGCCGGGGCCTTCGTGTTGTGGCACCGGTTCTGGCCTGTCCGCAGGAAGGCCTGAGAGCCCCTGGAGGAGTGGCCAGGGAAGACTCAGTTATCAATTCCAGGTTAGGGTGATCGGCGGGCATAACAGGAAACGGAGCCTCCTGGGGCAGGAGTGGGGGGAGTGGGGCGTCAGTTCCTTCCCATCCACCTGCCCCTTCCCTTTTCAGAGGTCAGGGATGGCCGGCCTCCAGGAGCGCGCCCCGGCGGCGTTAGGTCTGCGCACCGCGTGCGGCCCGGGGCCCTCTTGGCGGGCAGCGGATAACCCCCTCCGGGGAAGGAACACACGGACACGGACACGAAGCCGACAGCCTTCCCCCTCATCTGCTTTCCATCAGGGCGTTGGGGGCGCCTCGGCGGGAAGCCGGGAGCAGGCACCCAGAGCCCGCCCGGCCCCATCGCGGAGGGTGCCCGGGGTTGGCGGCCTCCGGGGACCTCAGAGGCCGGAACCAGCGCCGGTGGGGCCGCTCTAGGACGCCGAGAGCGGGTTATGTCGACTCGGTGATCCCAGGACGAGAGAAGGAAGGCGCCCTCAGAAAAGATGGCGGCTCTCCGGCGTCTCTATCTTTAGAGTAGGGGTGTCGAACTCAATCAGAGAAGGGGCCAAAATCTAAAATCCAGCCTAAATCGCGGGCCGAATGGTTTACTGAACAGTCATAAACTGTCATTGTGATGGAAACGCAGCGGAGTGCAGTGATGACAGCGCGGTGCGGGCCACATTGCAAGGCCTGGGGGATGGATTTGGCCCGCGGGCCTTGTGTTTGACACATGTGCTTTAGAGGAGGGCGTTGGACAGCTGTAGTGTGGGTCTGATGTTGGTGACCTGATTTGTTAACCCCTCGAGTTTCTCCTCTCGCCGTTGGGCCAGCGGCCTTGGGGGCGCCCTTGCCCACAGTTAAGATGGCCGAGGCCACTTCGACTTCCCTGGGGGCGCGGAGGGGGTG